TTTCTTATCAAGGATTAGCTACATCTGAAGACCTATTTAAGTACTCTTTTAGTTGTTTATTTTTATCTTCAGATAAGACTGTACTAGTCTACTTAACCTGTATATAATTAGTTACACATATAATTAGTTACACAGAAGAGTATGTGTAATAAAACCCAAAAAGTTGTGCAATACACAAAACAAATACATTTTACAAATAATTAATCTGTCTGTCATCTAGGGGGTAGGTTCTTTGAAGGATTATCAATGGGCCAAAATTCTATTCTTTCTTTACGTTAATAATTCCATGTTCAGGATTAGTCAGCTTTTTCTCTACTTAATTGATTTGCCCATTCTTCCCATATTCTAATTGTATTAACTCGTTGTCCTAGAATTTTGCTAATATTTTTTTCCATTTTAATTTGATATATCAACTGTTTCTGTATATTCAACCAAAATGGAGCTGAGGGGTTTTACCAATTACAGGCAATTTCTATTTTTACGGCCAAAAAACAGTGAATAACAAAAAAGCATACTTTGTTTCCCATATGGATCTCCAGTCTCTCCTTGGTCCTCTTAACTTTACCATACACCTTACACCCATCCACTCAACCTGCTCCCAGGTTCACCGGTCAACAATAGCACTGTTACATTCGACACATGCTTGAGCAGTCCTGTTCATGTCACTAAACTTTCTATCCCACCAGAACAGGGAAACCATGTTCACTCCACCATTGTCCCTCATTTCTGGATCAATACAGCTGCCCACTCTGGATGGCAGCCAATTTTCATAGTTAACTAGGTGACACGTGTAGCGGAGCTCCCTGGGTACCTCTGCCAAGGACAGCTTCCTTGCTGGAACAGGGGACAAACCGCAGCACTTTTGCCCACAGTCGCCATGGTTTGACTGGGGCCCTGGAACCACTCCTTGCTGGAACCGAACGGGGAATTAGCTCTAGTCCTTACAACGACTTTCCCCGTTGAATCTCCTGCAAGCTGGAACAGCAGACACTTTCCCTCTAATAACAAGATGACACACAGTTTTAGAGTGTAAGCTGGAATAGCATTTTAATGGAAGCACACTGGCCTTTTATGCAAGTTTCCCAAGAATGGACCTTGTTGGGCACAGGGACACAAAGTGAACAAACATATAAAAACAGAGTCATACAGTGAGACACCCCCATACACAAACAATAGAATCCCTCCTCTGTGCTTGGGAGATAATTGAATCCGGAACTGTACTAATCTAACCTATAATCTCCAAGCACATAAAAAATATATGTTAAGACACCTCTAGTGTCTTTAAGCCAAACCGCCGTTTAGTAGACCTTCCCCGGCTGCAGTACAGTCTCCGTTCGCTTACTCTGTAACACACGAACCAAATGCAGGGGAAGCGGCAATCTCCCGATCGAGATCCGTGAACGGCTCCAAACTCCCGAACGGCAATACACGAACTGCTGGTAACCATCGAACAGCAATATTCCCCAAGCGGCTTTCGTTCCATCCAGCAGTCTCTAAACGTGAAGAAGAAATCCCCCCAATAACGAGACAGAAGCTCCGCATTGAGGATCAAACAGAATCTGGCTTTACTGTGGGCTACCTGCCCGTATTTATGCAGGTCTCCCACTTGGTGGACACTCCCCTAGGGGACCAAATGGGAGACTTAAATTACAGACAGATCTGGGGACATCCCAGACACACAGTCACAGATTTTACCCACAGTGCATTATGATTCCCTCCCCTCTGCCCTGGAGTTAATTACCAAGTAACTCAATTAACTCCAGGACAAAGCCAGTCGCCATCTTAGACATAAAATAATAAAAGACATAAAAATATATAACTACATAAAAACTGAACATTTCCCATTCGTATTACATGTCCCCAGATAGCCTGGATCTGAGTGCATATTATTAGCGAATAGCGCTCAGATCCCACACACATAGTTCAATCGCCATGGAGTCAAAGTTCTTACAGTCTTTCGGTATACGAATGACTCCATGGGAAGGCTATCTGGGTTAAGTCTTTTCGTATGCTCTCAATCTCCCGAACGGCCGGTGTTCGCATGCTTTCGTGGAGGCAGCCAGGTGTTCCGTTGTTTCAGCGGTGTTCGGCAGAAAAAGTGTCCGTTTTCAGTTCCATAGAAATAGAGCCAAACACCGCTGGGCGTTCGCTTGATTTAAAATGGCCGCTGCCTCGTGGTCGACATACGAACGACGACCACCCTGAATTCGGTTTAATTGAGAAGTGTCTGCGGTTAACCACAACGTTCTAATTGGGATCACTTCGTTAACCAGCAGCACACTCCTCACTTGGGTGGCCGTTCGTTCGGCAGGTTTGTTCGGGAAAAAGAGTCATTCGAATGGCTGGGCTATAGAAACCAGCCATTCATACGAACGGGGGACAAACAGACGAACGTAGTAAAAATCCAAGCAGACAGATGGTTCTGTCACAATATACAATTTTATGAAACCTCAAAAAGTACCTTAAAAACACACAAAACCCCATATCCCCTGATAGCCCCAATCTGGGTGAACAACAAATCCAAAAATCACCTAGATCCCAGACAAGGCAAGGTTTAACATCAAGTTGAAACATGAGCTGAAGTGTGGTCGAGAGGAAAGACAGCAGTAACAGGGCACATGAGGGCCACTGTTCAAATCCCTTGTTGGGCATTTGTTGGGCACATGAGGGCAACACTTGCTTTCCTTTGTTAGGGAGGGGGTGACAGGTTCACAAAATGACAATCAGAGACTAGACCAATGCCTGCAACAAATATAAAGGAGATCCCGGGTACTTGTATGGCAAGACCCAGCCACGAGGAACACCCACTTAGCAAAGTGCAGAGTGCAAAGTGCAGAGTGTGATCCAATATATGGAAATGGAAGCTCAAAACTGTTTACTATTGTTTTTGCATAATATGTATATTTTTTTGGTACTGTTCGCCTTTTCTTTTCTCTTTTTCTTTCTTTTTTCTCTTTTCTTTTCCTTCCTTTCTTTTCTATTATATTATGTATCCATGATTGGCTATGCAATTACTTGATTGAGGGGTTCTCCCACACAGGCAATGGGAATGAGGTGACATGCATTGAGGGGACGTAAGAATACTAGGGCGTACCCGTAAGATTCTCTCCAATAATCAACGCCATGTGTAACAAACAGTCGAAAGTAGGTTACAATAATATACTGCCTTTTCACTCTTATTTTGAAAAAGGTCTTTTACGATCTTAAAATTATAATTAAGAGGAAATTGAAACTCCTAACTCACGTATGTACCTCAACTTAAGGAATGTTAGCACACAATCTTAACATGTGAAGATATTGCAATGTATTACCGATGGTCACCCTCTGTGAAGAGTTATGTATGCTCCCTCACACTCATGTAAATGGATGTGTTTACTTATGACTAATTTCCTTTAATAAAAATAAATTAAATAATAAAAAAGGGTCATAAAACATCAATCCAATTGTCCCCAAAACAAGGACAGAAAGTAACTGTAGTGAGTGTGTTAAAAAATGATAACTTTAGAGTAATGTCTGCAAATGCTTACAGTTTAGGGAATATGATCCATGAACTTGTGGCAATAATGGAAACTGAGAATGTAGATTTAGTGGCTGTTACTGAAAAATGGTATAATGAGAAAAATAATTGGGATATAGCAGTACCAGGATACTTTTATATAGAAAATACAGAGAAGGCAAGAAAAGGGAGGGGTGGCAACTTTTATTATTATTTTATTATTTTAAGGATAGCATAAAATCTAACCTAATAAAAGTTAGCGAGGTGAACATAGAGTCGTTTGGGTTACATTAGAATTTGGTAATCACACAGTAACTCATCAAGGTGTGATTTAAAGGCCCCCTGGACAAATAGAAGAGTTAGATAATATACTAGTTGAGGAAAAAGGTAAAGTGATATTGAAGGGGGAAGTTATCATCATGGGTGACTTTAATCTTGCTGATGTGAACTGGAAAACCAAAATAGCTGCTTGTGCCAGGAGCATACATATTATAAACTCCCTACTGGGATTTTCTCTAAAACAAGTCACTGAGGAAAAACAGACCTTTCTAAAATTAGAATATGTGTACTGGAGTCATTATCAGACTGGAGCAGTTTTGACTGGAGTCCAAGAGAAATGGGCTTATTTAAAAGTTGCACTACTAAAAGCAACCGAAAATTAGGCTTGTCAGTAAGCGCAAAAGAATTAAGAAACCACTGTGGTACTCCGCAGAATTGGTCAAAATGGTAAAAAAATTTAATTAAAAAAAGTTAGTGTAGCGGGACCTGGTTAGCCTGGCTGGTTATTCCCTCTAGTAATAATAGGTCAGACCCATTTCCCCAGTAACTGGATGGCACACTGTTCCAGGGTACAAGTTTGACAATCTTTATTTGGGCACACAGCTTTTTATGCACAGACCCAAATAGGGGGTCTCCATCCAACACAGGCAAGAGGGGGCTGGGTGACAGATAACCATCTCCCGCTCTGGAAGATACTAACAGGACACAGGGACACACATGAATACACATTACATACAGAAGGGTGAGCTTTGGGGCTCGGCACTCCAGGACAGAAAGGGGGTACAGGGTTCAATCTTATACTGATACCCCGGATCCCTCCTTGGATCCCTGCAAAAAGCAGGGCGATCGGATGTACAGAACTCAAGATATCAGCATCGAAAATCTGGGGCTTGAGGCTCTGTACATCCCCGAAATTAGTTCCATGGCATTTGCGCCCAAACCAAGCAACAACCAATCAGCTAAAATGGCACAAACCAAATTGCGCCAATCAGCATTTAGGGGAAGAAGAAGTTTCGCCAGTCCAATCCGAAGAAAGGGCGCGAAACTTGGCTGCACCAATCGTTGGTCGGGGAGGAGAGGGATTTCGTGGCCCAATCAGAAGATATGGCGCGAAACCCAACGGCACCAATCCACTGAAAGGCACAAAACCTATTCCCTCGGGGACGAGAGGGATTTCGCCACCTAATCAGAAGAATGGGCTTGAAACTCCATTCAAACGGGTGCTCCTGCTCTGATTGGTCACAGGTGTCCAGCGGCGACCAATCAGCGCCCACTCGTGCCGAACAACCAGGAGAATGGTGCAAACCCAGTTTGAATGGGCATTCCTTCTCCCATTGGTCAGCACGGACTTCCATGAGGTCAGCAGAGGCCTGCAGCCGCGAGCTACAGAGATTCCCCGTTGGCAGGCGCCCCTCTCCCCGGTGGACACACACACTCAGGTATCCGCTGGAGAGAGCGTTCACTGGGGCAGCTACGAGCCTAGCCTCATAGCTCCCATGTTTGAGAGTGATGAGTAATTATAGCTCCGTTAGGTACAGATCGAAGACAGCGTGCTCAGGCCGGTTCGGGAGTCGAATGGGCGTTCGGTGATACGAACCAGCAGCCACCCAGGGGAAGCACGCACAGCTTGATCCCTTGCAGTCTGCGGTATTTACACCTAGTTAGTGTAGAGACTGGGCTCCCAATTCCCAATAAATCGTACTGCCACTGGGGAATGGAGACTGGGCTCCCAATTCCAAATAAATCATCCTGTCACTGGGGAATGGAGACTGGGCTCCCAATTCCCAAAAAATCATACTGCCGCTGGGGATCTGAGCCAACCGCCCAGCATCCCTGTAGCTCACCCTGCCCCTGGGGAGGGAGGACGCTGCTCTCCTCTCCCTGCAAGGTACACTGCCGCTGGGGGACAGGACCACTTGTCTCTGCCCCCGGTAACACAACCTGCCACTGGGGAATGGAGCTTGGGCTCCCAATTCCCTGCAATATCTCCTGCTGGGGGATGGAGATGGGGCTCCCAATTCCCTGCAGGACCGGTGGAGAGACCTCGGTCCCATCTCCACCAGCCACCTGGGGTTCTTCCCAGTAATACTCCGCAATATCTACCCAGCTGAATGGGTCTGGATCTGAGTCTCCGCTTCCCTCACTGGAGTGAAACAGATCTTGGTAGCCCTACTCCAGCTCCATCTCTCGGGTCACTAGGTGGACCAGGTCTTGCTCAATCTCCTGAGTGTCGTCCCAGTCATACCTGCTCTCCCTCCACTCCAAGAGATCACTGAACCGGGCTTGTGTAGGGCTCCCAAATTCAGGCTCTGAAAAAGCCTCCCATAACAAGCCAGGACCATCAAACTCCTCTCCCTCTGGCTTGTTGTGCTCGGCTGTCCAGGGCAGGTACTGTGGCCCATACCACCAGAGCGCCTGGTAGGCATCTTCCAGCCACATCTCTTGCCATACTAGGTGTTCCAATTTCTTCACCCATACCATATGTAATTATCACAGGCAGGAAAATACACAGTTTTACACAATATTCATAACTCTAAAAGTATACATCATATTCACATAAAACGTACATTTTCAGAATCAGCAATACGTCAAAATCATACAAATTGGTCCAGTGGGTCAAAAGTTAGTTGGAAATCCCTTGGTGACCACCTGCAAGCATGGCTTGGGTGTGGTTAGCCCATTGTGTTCAGTAATTATATCACAGGCAGAGGGATTTTGTGTGGGAGTGTCTGAGTGTATTGTACGTATTGATTGGTTGTTCTGCAAAACCCTGTGGGCAGTACTATGTTTGTAGAATGTGAATAAAAGGTTGTATGTGCCAGTACAGTCAGTTCTACTTCACCCTCAATTTGGAGTGCCGTCTCTTATTGGGGGAATCTGCTACAAGGGATTGCTATGTTCTGCATACTCCCTTGCTATATTCACTGCTAAGCTCTTGTAAGAGCTTGTTCCTGTCTTGCTTTCTGAAGGCATCTACGGTGGTTATGGTGTCTGCTGCAGTGCTTGGAGTCATCAGGAAGTGCTAGGAGCATCTTTCAACAGAGGTACCCGGTCTGGGTGCCAGGTGATCTGTTACATGAGTTTACAGAGGAAGAGGTTCTATTTCAACTGTCAAAAGTAAAGACAAATAAGTCGATGGGGCCTGATGGAATACATCCAAAGTAATTAAAAGAACTTAGTGGTGTACTAACACAACCATTTATGGATTTATTTAACCAATCATTGTTAACAGGAGTAGTCCCAGAAGACTGGAAATTAGCTAATGTTGTACCCATTCACAAGAAAGGTAGTAGGGAGGAGTCGGGCAACTATAGGCCAGTAAGCCTTACTTCAGTAGTAGGGAAAGTAATGGAAACCATGTTAAAGGATAGGATTGTTGAACTGCTGATATGTCTTTTTGCTGATAATACTAAAATTTGCATAAGCCAAATGGTAAATGATTTAGGTAAATTAGAAAAATGTTTAGAGCTGTGGCATCTCTATGTCAATTTCTACAAATTATCCAAAGAAAATAAACCTTCACAAACCCACGAGATAAGCACAAAAATTTTATTAGCACATAATAGTATAAACAAATTATTGTTCAAGGCGAAAAATAGGAATCTACAATCTCTAAGGATAAATTGGTACTATAAGAGCAACAGAGCAGATAGGTTACTCACAAATAAACTGGAAAATAAAAAACAAATGAGGAGGATTTATAAAATTGAGACGGAGAAGGAAACGCAAATGTGTCCAAAGAAATTTGGTTCAGCCTTTAATGATTACTATAGGTGATTATATAACTTAGAACCAGAAGGAAAACAACTTCCCTCAACAGAATATTTTAAAATCAAAAAAATGCCAAAAATAACTAGAGAACAACTAACAGAAATAAATAAATCTATAACTTCAGAAGACATTAAAGCAGCAATAAATAAGTTGAAGATCAATAAAGCTCCTGGTCCCGATGGCTATTCAGTTACATTTTATAAGATATTCAGAGATATACTATCTGTACGTCTTGCAAGGATATTTAGTGAGATAGTTGTAATTCGCACTTTTCCTTAAGAGATGCTTCAAGCTAATATATTCCCAATTTTGAAGCAGGACAAAGACCCAGTTAAACTGGCGAATTATCGCCCTATATCTCTTCTCAATGGATGCTTCGATTATAGCAGACCGTTTTAAACTTTTTATCTCTTTTGACAGTTGAAATAGAACCTCTTCCTCTGTAAACTCATGTAACAGATCACCTGGCACCCAGACCGGGTACCTCTGTTGAAAGATGCTCCTAGCACTTCCTGATGACTCCAAGCACTGCAGCAGACACCATAACCACCGTAGATGCCTTCAGAAAGCAAGACAGGAACAAGCTCTTACAAGAGCTTAGCAGTGAATATAGCAAGGGAGTATGCAGAACATAGCAATCCCTTGTAGCAGATTCCCCCAATAAGAGACGGCACTCCAAATTGAGGGTGAAGTAGAACTGACTGTACTGGCACATACAACCTTTTATTCACATTCTACAAACATAGTACTGCCCACAGGGTTTTGCAGAACAACCAATCAATACGTATCTCTGTCCTGATACATCAGGATCAGGCTGGATTTATCCCCGTTAGAGTAGCAGCAGGTGGCCTCAGAAGGGTGTTAGATGTCCATGACGCAGCATCGAGGAAGAATGTCTCCCTTCTGACCCTGTCACTTGATGATGAGAAAGCTTTTGACAGGGTCAGATGGGATTTCCTGGGGAATGCGTTGAAGTCTTATGGATTAGAGTGGGCAGTCTATGACGCGATTATTGCCTTATATACAGTCCCCTCAGCAAGGACGGTAGGACCAGGAATAGAGGCAGATTGTTTAACATTACAAATGGCACCAGGCAGGGATGCCCCCTGTCCCCCTTACTTTATGTTTTAACTATCCAGCCCTTGGCGGAAGATGTAAGGCAAAATGGAAAGATCGAGGGTTTCAAGATAAATAAAGTAGAATACAAGGTCAATCTATACACAGATGACGTTATGCTTACGCTACAGAACCCAAGATCTTCATTGACGGAATTGATAAAGGTATTGGGTCAATATAGCAAATATTCAAATTACAAATTAAATATACACAAGACCACAATAATGGCAAGAAGGATAATTAGTGAAGACAGGAACTTAATAAAAACAACTTATGATTTCGTCTGGACAAAGGATAATATTACGTTCCTGGGTATAAAAATCCCAAGAAACATAAATAAAGTAATAGAGGTTAATTTTCTCCCCCTTATAAAATACACAAATAAGACCTTGGAAGAATGGGTCAGTAAGGAGATCTCCTGGATAGGGCGTTAAAATGCGATCCGTTCATATATTTTGCCCAAATGGAACTATTTCTTTAGAATGCTGCCAATACCATGGCTAAAAATAATACAGTCAACTTTTTCTAAATTTATTTGGAAGGGGGAAAAACCCAGAATAAATTTTAATTTGTTATCTAAAAAAAAAAAAGATGGGGGACTTGCTGCCACACACACTATTACCACCTTAAGTAGAGCCCAAAAGGACCAAGCTTGGTACCAAATAGAGGCAGCACTGGTGGAGGCAGATAGTCTTTCTGAACTATTTTCGGTAACAAAAAAGGAGAAATACAAGAGTAAACCAGTTCTCCCAGGAAATTCGATTATTATTGATAGTATTTTGAGACGCTGGAATAAAATTAAAAAGGACTTTAAAATAGAATATGGAGGTGATCCTGGGGAATAGTGAGGATATTAATATCAGTAAATGGTTACAGAAGGGATTTCAGAATATTCAAGATTGTATAGATAGAAAGGAAATTAAGCCTTTTAACCAGTTACAAACAGAGTTCGGAATTGACAGCAAAGAGATCTTTCCATATTTAAGAATCAAATTCTATCTGGGGACATTTTTGGAATTTCAAATGGATAAAAATACGAGTTACCTAAAAAATATTCTGGAAAGTCATAGATTAAAAGGACATATAACTAGATGTTATGAATTTCTAAAAGACTCTCAGAAGTCCCATGTGTGGAAATCTAAGATCAAGTGGGAAAATGACTTACATATTGAAATCACAGAGCAAGATATGATAAGGGCGATAGTCAAGGTGAACAAATCAGTACATTGCCTGAATATAGTAGATAATTTTTATAAGCTCATAAATAGTGATGTCCCAAACTGTTCGCCGAACCGTGACAAACAGTTCGTGAACAGTTCGGCGAACAGTTCGGGACATCACTACTCATAAATAGATGGTATATGGTTCCTGAAAAACTGGCCAAATATACAAAGATCAGCATAATAAATGCTGGATATGTGCCGCTGGGAAAGGAGACTATCTCTATATATGGTGGCAATGCAAACACTTAAGTAAGCTATGGAAGAGTATTTATGAACAGATTTATGCTACCTGTCAGATGTATACCTTTTACACCACAGAGCTTCCTGCTACACCAGGGATGGCCCTCTATGCCCACTGAAAAAAGTATGCTAATAACTCACATTTTGATGGCAGCTAAACATGCTGGCAAGGCATTGGAAAAGTAATAAGGTTTTAGAGTGGGACGAAATTAAAAAACAATCGATATATCAATGTAAAATGTAAATTGGAATAATTCAAGGGAATTCAGTTGGATTGCCGAAAATTAGTACATGGACAAAAATTGTGGAAAAGCTCCTGGTCAGTAATTAATGTTTACACTAAAGATGGATGGTGATGCCCCCGTGGTGTGTCTGTGTCCCAAGAAAATCTTGCTGTAAGGGTTGCGCCCATTTGGGAAGTAAGTAATATATGGATATGTATAAAGAGTCATAAAAAATGCTAGTCCCTGGAGACAGTGAATGTGTCAGAGAATGTTTTTTTGTTTTTTTTTATGTAGGTACCTTAACTTTGCAATACATGTAGCCTACAGATATTGTATTTTCACTGCTGTTCCTCCTAGTTTTATAGTACATGAATTATATTTGAATTTATGTAATTTGAGATACTGTACATATTGATGTAATATATAGACACTCCGTTTCTATTTGCTTCTTATCTAGTATTGAGGTAAAAGTTTTATTATTAAATATTTGTCTTGCAATTTGAAGTACTGTATGTATTGATTTTTTTTGTGAAATGTTGAAAAATAAAATATATTTAAAAAAATAAAATAAAAATGTTTAAAGCTGTGGCAACTGACATTTAATGTGGATAAATGCAAGATAGTGCATCTTGGGCGTAAAAACCCAAGGGCAGAGTATAGAATATTTGATGCTCTACTAACCGCAACAGCTGAGGAAAGAGATTTAGGAGTAATTATTTTTAGATGACTTAAAGGTAGGCAGACAATAGAGCAGCAGGAAATGCTAGCAGAATGCTTGGTTGTATATGGAGAGGTATTACATAGTTACATAGCTGAAAAGACACTTGCATCCATCAAGTTCAGCCTTCCTCACATATGTTTTTGCTGTTGATCCAAAAGAAGGCAAAAAACCTAGTCTGTAGCGTTTCAAATTTTGCAACAAACCAGGAAAAAATTCCTTCTTGACCCCAAAATAGCAGTCAGATGTCTCCTGGATCAAGCAGCTATTACCACACTAATTAGAAATGATATCCCTGTATGTTATGTTTTTGCAAGTATTTATCCAATTTCAGTTTACACATCTGTATGGACTCTGATAAAACCACCGATTCAGGCAGAGAATTCCATATCCTTATTACTCTTACTGTAAAAAAACCTTTTCTTTGCCTTAGATGACATCTCCTTTCTTCCAGCCTAAATCTGTGACCCCGTGTCCTGTGTATAGCCCTGTTTATGAACAGATTTCCAGATAATGGTTTGTACTGGCCCTGAATATATCTGTATAATGTTATCATATCCCCTGTGAGGCTCAGTTTTTCCAAACTAAAGAGATTTATATTTTTTAACCTTTCTTCGTAACTAAAATGCTCCATTCCTTTTATCAATTTTGTAGCTCATCTCTGCACTTTTTATACTGCCATGATATCCTTCTTTAAAACAGGTGCCCAAAATTGCACAGTATATTCAAGGTGTGGTCTTTACAGCGATTTATAAAGAGGCAAAATTATATTTTTATCCTGAGAATTTATGTCCCTATTTATACATGACAAAACCTTACTGGCCTTAGTAACTGCAGATTGACATTGCATATTGCTGCCTAATTTGTTGTCTATAACAATTCACAAATCCTTCTTGTGAGTGGTTATCCCTAATTCACAACCATTTAGGGTGTAAGTTGCTTGTGCATTCTTGACCCCGAAGTGCATAACTTTGCATTTCTCTACGTTAAATTTCATCTGCCATTTTAGTGCCCAATTCCCCAATCTATCCAAATCCCTCTGCAACAAAGCAGTAGAAAGAGGGAAGGGATCAGTGTTATAGAACACTGGTGAGACCTCACTTGGAGTATTGTACACAATACCGGAGACCGTATCGTCAGAATGATATTGATACTTTGGAGAGAGTTCAGAGAAGGGTTACTAAACTGGATTGCAGGATATTTTTTTTTTTTAAATTACCAGTAATGGTTAAAAGATCTTAACATGTATAGCTTGGATGAAAGACGAGATGGGGGGGATATTAGTGAAACATTTAAATACTTAAAGGGAATTAATATAGTAAAGGAGGAGACTATATTTAAAAGAAGAAATACTACCCCAACAAGAGGATAGTCTTAAATTAGAGGGGCAAAGGTTTAAAAATAATTTCAGGAGAGGGTAGTGGACTCATGGAATAGTCTTCCAGCTACAGAGGATAACACTGTGAAGGACTTTAAGCATGTGTGGGATAGGCATACGGCTATCCTAGCTATAAAATAAGGCCAGGGACTAATTAAAGTAACTAGACAATTGGGCAGACTAGATGGGCCGAATGGCTCTTATCTGCCATCACATTCTTTGTTGCTAGGTTTCTAAAAAAAAAAATTTGTTTTTACAGGTTTGAAAATGATCTTAAAATAATGAATGGAGTTAAACTAGGCCTGTACTGGAAAATCATGTGGGGATTTGTAAGTCCCTTGCTGATAATAAGTTTGTTTATCTTTTACCTTGTGGATTACATTATGGCAGGCACTCTTCAATATAAAGCATGGGATGCCACTCAGGTACAGTTTTTTTGTCTTTTTTAAGAACTAAGTAATCATCTTATAAAAATATCTGTCTGTTTATATTAAACCTTTTAACAATGTGCATGTCTCTGCCTACATTTAAAAAAAATGTGGAAATGCAAATCAATTAAAACATTCACTAATATGTAACATATATTCATATACACACAGGATGGCCCGTAAGTCCCTACCCATCAAGCACACAGATACACTGTGTGGTTCTGAAGCCTAGTTCATAAAGTGAGAGTTCATAGTGAGAACTAATTTCCCATAAACCACAATGTAATAAGCATAGGTTCAGTTCCTGACCAACACATTTTACTATAGAAAACCTAAATTATTAAGCGCAAATACAAAATATAGGTATAACAAATACATATATGTTGTAGGAACATTAAAGAAATACATACCATATTGAATTCTTCATCAAATCATCCTCAATCATCATCGTCTTCAATGAAGAGACATGCTGCACTTGATGAATGGGGCACTGCACAGTCCTCCCTCAGTTGTTTGGTGCTTGTTGAAGGCTGCACCTCACTTGTTTCTGGTTCATTTGAGACAGAGCTAGTCACAGCAGCTTTCTGTTGACAAGCATTTCTTAGATCTCTAGCAACTTTGGTACTTCTCTCAAAGTTAGAATCTTGTGACTCAAAAATATTAATGGCCTTTTCCATTTGTTGAGATGCTTCCTTGAGGCCTTTCAAAGTGAAAGAATGAACAGGAGTTTTAGGTGCTGTAACATCTTCTACCTCTTCAACTTCCTCTTGTTCTTCTATATCTAAGAGGTCTTCATTTGTAAGTTCTTCAAACCCTTGAACATTAGTACTAAAAAACTGAGGGCAGAGCTTTTTCCAAACACCTTTCATGGTTTTCTCTGAATTTTGGTTCCAGGCATATGCTGTAATTTTTATTGCATCTAAAATATTAAATAATTGTCTCCAAAAATCTTTAAGACTTGGACCTGTCACGTTATCTGTTGCTTTAATCAACATTTCAAATGTCTGCCGAAGGTACAGTGCTTTAAATGTGGCGATAACTCCTTGGTCCATTGGTTGCAAAATGGAAGTTGTATTTTTTGGCAAGAATATGATTTTGACATTAGGGTGATGATGTTGAAGAGAGGGTGGATGACCGGGTGCATTATCTACCAGCAGAATTACTTGAAAAGGTATTGATTTATCTTCACAATATTTTTTCACTTAAGGTACAAAATAATGTGAGAACCAATCTTCAAACAGCGAAGCAGTAACCCAACCTTTTTTATTGGCTTTCCATATGACTGGCAGTGCGCTTTTCACATTTCCTTTAAGTGCCCTAGGGTTTTCTACACGATGCACCATCATGGGTTTTAACTTATAGTCTCCAGCTGCATTCCCACCAAGCAATAAAGTTAGTCAATCTTTCGCTGGTTTAAAATTGGGCATTGATGATTCTTCTTTTGCAATGTAGCTTCTTGATGGCATGCGCTTCCAAAAGAGACCGGTTTCATCCGCATTGAAAACCTGTGATGGCGAGTAATTTCCCTCTTCCAATATTTCAGCCAACTTAGCAGGAAATAATTTAGCCGCTTCTGTATCAGCACTTGCGAATTCTCCAAGGATTTTTATGTTATGCCAACCAGCTCTTTTTTGTACCGATCAAACCTACCACTGCTTGCAGAAAATGTTTCTTCAACGTTGCCTCCTTTTCTTTGTTTCAGCATCTCAAAAAGTGATAAAGCTTTAGCACAAATGGTAGCATAGGTAACAGGCATATGGAGCCGTTCAGTTTGATCACTTATCCATGCTGTTAAAAGATTTTCCATATAAGGAATAAGTCTTTCATTTTCTTTGGTATAGTAGAATGCAGGGATTGCACATTTTTACTTCCTTTAAATATTTTTCTCTGTCTTTCAAAATTGTACTCACAGTTGATTTACTTAGTGAATATTTGGTAGCTAATTCTTTAGTGGTTTTTCCAGCATCTGTTATGATGTTCATTTTCTTTCCTAATGTTATGACTTTTCGTCTTTTGATATTTTCATTACAAGCACCAACTGTAACCTCCTTTCTTTTTGGTGGCACTTTCTTCTTTCTCAACATCCCTCTCTCCTTTATCACTTTCCTTTTCCTTCTTCAATTTCACACCTCTCTTAAGCCTTCCTCCTTCTTCTTTCTCAACTTCCCTCTCTCCTTTATCACTTTCCTTTTCCTTCTTCAATTTCACACCTCTCTTAAGCTTTCCTCCTTCTTCTTTCTCAACTTCCCTCTCTCCTTAATCACTTTCCTTTTCCTTCTTTTATTTCACACCTCTCTTAAGCCTTCCTCCTTCTTCTTCCTAAACTTCCCTCTCTCCTTTATCACTTTCCTTTTCCTTCTTTTATTTCACACCGCCTCTCTTACTTTCAGGCTTGCACCTCTCCTTTATCACTTTTTTCCTCCTTTTATTTTTAGAGCTGTCAATCTCTACTCCTTTTATTTTTTAGTGCTCCTTTTCTTTTTATTCTCTTTTTTACAGTATTTTTAGAGCCTTCAAGCTTCTCCCCTTTCCTCAGGCTCTTCAGCCCTCCTCCTGCTCCTTGCTATGCTACCTGCCAAAATATGGCACAATGTCACACACACACTTTATATGGAAAAACAGCTAAAATTACATTTCACAACATGTCTTTGTCTGTCTACAGGAAGGGGGGGGGGGGGATTATGGAAAATGTAAGAAGTCCCAAGCATACTCACATCAATCTCTGGCACACACACACACAAACATGATTTTTTACCTTACCTTTCACTCCTGTTCACTCCCTTAAGCACACTCACATCAATCTCAGGCACACACACAAAAACCATACAATTAGAAAAAGCATATAGGTACATTAAAATGAAAAAGAAAAGTTATTTCGACAAACTATTAGATGCACTGTTATATGTTCACACATCATATATGGAAACCCTAATCAGCAGTAGCAGGTCAGGCTAAACTGTGCTCAGTGTTTTAATTTTTTTTTTCCATTTAAAGAAAAGTTAAGATAAATTTCTCATTAACTCTACCTTGTCCAGTTGATAATATATTTACTAAGCCTTCAATCCACTAAACACATTTATGCAGGTCCATACAGCAAGTTGAAGGCAAATTCTGGCAGAATTAAGACACGTTAGATGTGGGCTTTTATTTGGAAGGTTGGCCTGCATTCATCCATTTCAAAGTGTATCTGTCATGAAATTCTATGCAGGTGTTAATTAATAGGACATCACATACTGTACTATCACTCATGTACTGTACACTGTGCCATCCATTCAGTAAATGTTCCAGATTCTGTTACATCCTGTTCTAAACAGAAAAATACTCAATTGGATATAAAGACAAAGCTAATTATACAGATTTTAAACTTACCTTTCACTCCTGTTCACTCTCCTGGCCTCAAATTCATTTTCCAGTGCCTCCAAACATGCTCCATGGTCCACATCCATGGATTGCTGAAAAAAAATGGCGGCGGAAATAAAATGGCGCGTGTTGGAGATAAAATCAGCTATACACGAAGACTTGATGAATGCTGGCTGAGCAACTCCCACTTAGGAAATAGGACCCTAGGAATCAGTTAAGAAGACAGAGACGTGTTCAATAACCAATTCTCAGAATCCTGTTTCCTAAGAGGGAGGGGCTCAGCCAGCATTCATCAAGTCTTCGTGTATAGCTGATTTTATCCCCAACAAATTGGTGTCAGAGTGGGATGTAGGTATAGTGGTCTTGTAGGGGTGCTTGGCAGGAGGTGCAATGATGGGGTATTATCTTGCAGGGCTTGGTATGAGTGAGTGAAGAAGGCAGTAAAGGCTGATATGGGGTGCTCGGATGCCCAGGCTTTAATGGGGTGCAGTATGTGTAGTTGTGGAGTGTTAGTATAGTGGTTCTGGACTGAATGACAGGGGTGCAGTGCTAGCTGGCAGGACTGAGTGGGTACAGGAAGTGGGGGATCAGTGAAGGATGGAATGGGGTGCTGGGGTATCCAGGTTATAATGGGGTGCAGACTGTTTTGGAGTGGTCCAGGGCTGTATTGATATTTGTCATGGGGTGTAGTGGTGAGGTGCAGGAAGATGGGGGACTGTGGAGCCTGGAATGGGGTGCTGGGATGCCCAGATTATAATGGGGTGCAGTCTGTTTTGAAGTAGTCCAGGGCTGTATTGATGCTTGTCCAGGGGTGTAGTTTTGGGGTGCTGGCTTGCAGTGTTGGGGTGCAGTTAGTGGGGGGGGCAGGGAAAATCTGCTTTAAATAAAAATGTAAATATGCAAAGTGTGGAGGATGGGAAAAGGAAAAGAATAGGTGTCTGAAAGACACAATCCCTTACCTTCCGTCTCCAATTGCACCCAAACTTCTGACACAAATTTGTTGGGTATAAATTCAGCTATATCCCCCCCCAAAATTATTTTTTTTAAAAAGGGAGGCTGTTTTTTGTTATATCCTATGTTATATAACGCACGTATATTTGATAAAAAACAGATATTTACAAATACCAACATCTTGGACAAACAACAAGAACATTTCGAAATCCATACTTTTCCCGTAATTCTTTAGAGAATCGGAGATACAATTCCAAATTCAAATTAACCCTTATATGAACAGCTAGGATAGATAGTGAAATGGATATTCGTAAAACATTCGTAAAAGCGGGAAAACGTAAAGCGGGAGTTCGTAAACCGGTAAATGACTGTATGTATATATATATATATATATATATATATATATAAATAAAATGAATTTTCTCACCCCCTCCTAGCTGGTATTTCTTTTCCTCATTCTCAGGTCCTTTACCAGAGGCCTGGGAGTTTTAGGTTTCTGCGCAATACCTTAGCTGTTCCTGTGTCACAGGAACACTATCTACATGAACACTATATTCCATGATTCACAGGAATGTACATGATTCATGTACTGTATATCATGTACATGAATATCTACAAACGGTGTCAACATATATGTGGCTATAACACAGCCAGACACAATAACAAATCATACAACATTAAGGTATCCTATTTGTGCACATCTGCAAATGTGGTGTACATGATAAAGTGTACAGTGTGTGACAAGGTTGCTACATTGGAGAAACTGGCCTTAAGCTGCATCTCAGAATGAATTTACACAGACAATCAATCAAGAACCACAGGGAAAATGGGTATTGCACCCCTGTTGGTCATCACTTGACCCAGACTGGTCACTCCATCCAAAACTTCAGGATTAAAGTATTGAAGGGAATTTCAAAGCATCTCATGAATGAAAGACATTTGAGATGAAAATGATCACACATTTCAACAACAGAAATTAAGGACTTAATGTAGATTCTGGCTTTCTCACACACTACCAAAACTTTATATAAACACACATATTAATGTCTTATATAGTTCTTGTTCAATATTCACACTTCACCTTTATTGTATCAATTTATATACATACATATATACAGCTATTTACTTGCATGCCCTGCTGTTTTTTTTTTTGTTTTTTTTTTCAACTAGCTTATTGACTCTCCTCTGTTTATTTACTTTTTCTGGCTATCCTCAGTCAACCTGCACCTTTCATTTTCAGGCACATCTTCTGCTATTTATGACACCCCACTCACCCCCACCCTTCTTCCGCTTCTCTAACATTAGTTGTTTGAAGTGTTAAACTTTTTCAGATTTATCAGTATTCCTTCAGACCTGAAGAAGAGAGGAAAACTCTTGAAAGCTTGTCTTTGAAATATTATTTTAGTCCAATAAAAAAGGTATCATTGCATACTGCAATACTCTGGCATTTTGGCATCTTGTCTACTGGACTAATACAGCTAATCCAACATACATTCATACATACATACAAAAAAAATAAGTCCTGCGCTCAAAGTCCCATCACTTCTCGGCGGCACCAATGACCATAGTACAAATCATATTACAAAGTACATAATACAAATACATACAGTAAAAACCAATGAAAAAAGTTACCTGTGCTCTTCCCAAATCCCTATGCATATTTAAACAAATGGAGTTTATTTAGTTTCTCCAATGGCCATGAGAGACTTGAAGGCAAACCTCTCAGGTGGGTCCTGCACTAACCTTTCACCTTGCTTCCTTGAGCTTCTGGCAACGATATCTCTAATGAGACAAAAAGGGGTATTTGTTTTATATACACCCCTACATGCTTATTAACTCCTAATAAGGAACAAATGGGATCTCTCATGGCCATTGGATAAACTAAATAACCTCCATTTGTTTATATATGTGTATTTGTGGTCAGAATTTAATTCGTATATGGAAATAGAGAACAGGGGGAAAGTGGTAGTGGTGTGCCGAAACCAACGTACGGGTATGCTTGTAGTAAAGAGGGTCCACCAGAGGTAATGTAATGATGGTAGTAAGTTGTGACAGAACCATCTGCCTGTGAAATACTTTTATTGTTTCCTCATTCATCTGTTTGTCTGGCTATTTCCCTGTCCGTACAGTCCCCACGCTTGTTTCTTTCATACCGAACAATTCACTGAACGGCCGGCCACCCAGCATTGAAGTGTGCTGATGGTTAACCTCTTGGCATCATTAGAACATTGTGGTTAACCGCAGACACTTCCTAATTGTCAAATGCTGACTGGGTTGTCGTCGTTCGTGTGCCGACCATGAGCCGGCGGCCATCTTGGACATACGAATGTTCAGTGGTGTTTGTCGACGATTTCAGGGAACTAAAAATGGACACCGTTTCTCATGAACATTGCTGAAGCCGCCGACCTCCCTTTTTCTATTTCTCCAGCATACGAACGCCGGTCCGTTCGGTAGTTTCTTCTCCTGAATAGACTTATCCCAGATAGCTGTGCCATGGAGCAAATTCGTATAACGAAAAACTATGTGAAAGACTTTGGCTTGATGGCGATTGAACTGTGTGTATAGGATCTGAGTGCCATTCAGTAATAAGTTGCACTCAGATCCAAGCTATCTGGGGATGTGTTGAATGTACCTATTGTGTTCGGTAGTTTTGTATTGTATTTTTTGTATGTATTTTTATGTATTTTCATTACTCTGTATAAAATGGAGTTTAGCCTCTGTCCTCGGAGATAATTGAGTTACTTCCCAATTATCTCCAGGACAGAGAGGAGGGTCCTATACAGCAAAAGAGGAGTGTTTATGTCTTCAACCTTGGCTAATGTACACATATTGTCACAGTTTTCCACCAGGTCCCCTAGGGGAGTGTCCACCTGGTGGAAATCCTGCATAAATACCTGCTGACCCTCAATACAGAGTTGTGTCTTGTACTTGGGGGGATTTATTCGTATGGTTACTCTCGTTCAGATGTTTGGAGTGTGTATGATTCGTATGGTTCTTTTTCAGCTGATTGGAGTGATTGGTAGTTACCTTCGTATTCGGGAAAGGAGCATCTTACACGGTTTTAACCCCTTTCATACCTGGGGTACCATAACATAAGTTATTAGAAGGAGTGGTGGGAGGGGACGCTCTAACAGGAAACAGCATAGGTAAGCAGGGTGGTAGAGCTTATATATATATATATATAAAACTCCTCCCATAAATTCAGGCCTAAGGTCTTTTACTTTTGGTCAGAACTTAATTCATATAAGGAAATAGTGAAGTGTGCAGAAAGCAACGTACAGGTAGGCCTGTAATAAAGAGGGCAAAAGATATTGCAGAAAAACACACTTTATTGTATAATTACAATGCTAAACATTTAAAAGTTTTCCTGAGTTCTTTCTCGGGATGTGTAATAGACAGAGGATTTCCATCTGCCCGGTCTTTTAATGATATGGACTGGTGTGTCCATACTGGAGGCTGCGGTGGCTACCCCAATTCTGAAGTTGTGAAGAAGTGCCCTTCGCCACTTGGTCCTGGAGAGGCCTGCTTGCCAGCCTCCTTGTCTTGTGACTATGGCCCCTGGGAGAGTTTGCCCTTTATAAACATTATTTGGGCTCATTGGATTGTAACACACTTTTTATACACCTTTAATTCCATGAGAAAATGTGCCTCTATCCCTTCCCCCATTTTGTCCCATTGTTCTCCAGCAGGGCGTTGTCCCAGGGACACTGCCAGACCAGTTTAAACTTGCCGCTTTGTCCCTCCTCAATCTCTCATCAGCCCTTGCTAAACTTTAACCCCATGGTGATTTTATTCTGTTCTTAGGATCTGAGCGCTCAGATTCAAGCTATTTGTTCAGTATGATAGGAGTTATGTATTTTTGTGTATTTTTGCTGTTGTTGTGAATAGAGATTTTTTTCTGTATTCTGGAGATAATTGGCTTACCACACCCAAGCCATGCTTGCAGTCGATTAATTGGACTTCCATCTATCTTTTGAACTACTGGACCAATTTGTATGATTTTGACATATGTTTGTATTTGGAGTATGCTGATTCTGAAAATGTATGTATACTTTTGAAGTTATGAATATTGTGTAAAACTGCGTATTTTACCGCCTGTGATAATTATGTTAGCCCATTGTGTTCAGTAATTATATCACAGGCAGAGGGGAGGATTTTGCTGTAATGACTGTATTGTATTGTGTTTGATTGGCTGTTCCACAAGACCATGTGGGTGGAAACTGTGTGTAACAACTTGCATAAAAGAAAGCACTTTGCTGCCATAAAAAAAGATCTTCTTGACCCTCAACACGTGATTGGAGGGAACTGCTATAATCACTGGGGTTTGCTATGCTCTGCATACTCCCTTGAGCTTTAAATCACCTAGCTCTTCTAAGAGCTGTTCCTGATATGCTCTCCTGGAGGAGAGGTCTTCCCCACACAGTCCTGGATGCTGGAGGTTCATACAGGGTGGAAGGAAGAGGTCTTTCCCACACGGTCCTGGAGGACAGAAGCTGATCCAGGGTAGAAGTTTCCCTGAAGGCCGGTAAGGCAAGAGTTTCTTGAGACCAAACATCCCTGAGGCAGTGGTTACCAAAAATTGCAGTAAACCCCGAGTGGGCTGCTGCATCAGTCCAAATAACAGTGGAGTGCTTGGTCAGTGGGGGAATGAACATGGAGATGCCGTTCCACTCTGCGATGAAGTTCTTCCACATGAGTAAATCGGCTACGGCTGGGGGGTTGAGGACTATGGTGCCATCATCAGGCACACTGGGTAGGAGGCAGAGTAACCTGGAGATGAAGGATCTCCCCTGTGGAATTATACGTATTACTAAATTAAGGTATCCCAGTAGAGACTGGAGATCCCTCCGTGTACCAGTACCTTTTTAGAAGAACTGGTCCAGTTCAAGTCTACTGCGCACCAATTTCACATCAATAGATACCCAGGAATACCAACTGTGCTGTGGGGCCTATTGTTTTGTCAGGGGACAATGGAACACCTAGTGCCGAAAACAGTGGAGCCGAAATTGAGTCTGGTCAGAGAGACGGATGGATCGGTAGTAATTTGAATGCGTTAGTTATATCCGTCTTACTGAGCATGGCTTTTTCACCGGCCAGTAGAATAGCATGTATGGCATGATCCATGGAGGCATAATGAAGAGAGAATTCTTCAGCCGGTATTAATGAATTTAAACTAGGGTGTTTAGAAGAATGAGGTGCGCACAAATTGATGATCAAACGTTTTTTTATTAGATGTGCTGTTGGTTACCACTCCAATAGGGTTTGAACGCCATGTGGAAAAAGGAGAGTGCAAAAAAGGACCAATCATAAACCTGAAGTGGTCGCTCTCCATAACAACTCATCAACAGCAGATGGGTCATCTGTAGCCGAGAGTAAATTAGGGCATTCTAGTGTGGCTGTTGGGAGTGCTACTAACCCTGTGTGGAAACCCTCAGAAAAAATAGAAATCCAATATTGCACCAAGTGGGGGGAGGTGTGGGTGTGTAAATTGTAAGCTAAGGTGTCGATGTTCACCTCTGTCAGTTGTTTCCTAGGGAGAAGCTTAGAAAGAAACATGTATTTTGTGTGTGCCCTGAAGCAGATGGAGCAAATATGTAACAACCTGCAGGCATTGTAGTTACATGCTCCCGCATTAAAGTTGTTGCATATGTGCGCCTTGCCCAGGAATATGACTGGTCAGCCCGGCTTATCTCTCTGTCCCCTAACCTGACTGACAGAGGGGTGGATGGAGGGGAATTAAGTGGAGGGGTGAGTGGAGGGGTAGGAAGTGGAGGGGTGAGATGTAGAGTGTTCTGCTTTGCAGGGACACAAGTTGGAGGAGTGTGAGGTAGAGGAACAAACCGCACAAGACGGGGGTCTCAAGTCGGCGAAATGTCTGCAGAACAGCCAACTGACTCCAATCGATGCAAGTGTTGTACTGGGCTAGAGCCGCTGCTGCCTTAGATGAAACCGACCTGTGATAATCACAGAAAGCGAAATCCCTGTACTTGTGCCCCAGGTCCACCACCTTGTGTAAAAAGAGGTCATATTCCTCTCACCTCTGAGGGTATACAGAGCAGATGACATCTCTGTATAGTCTGAAGCCGAGAACGAATTTGAGGATGGAGAGCTTTTTATGAAGACGTGGGTCCCTTGTTTTGAGGATTGCAGACATGTCTTCGTAACTAAAATCTCTATTTTCTAAAATATCCTGCGAAGCATTAAGGAGAGTGACTAGACTGGCATTTTTGCAGTGTGAAGTGGAGGGAGTGATAGTAATGTCCCTACATAGCGTGTTTGACGGTGCAGGTGCTGGGCCTGGAGTGTGAGGTGCATTTATAACCATAGGGATTATGGTTTCTATCTTGGTCATTCTTGGTCATTCTCTCATTTAGTGACTGAAGGGTAGACAAGATGGATGACAAAGTGTCTTGAAACTGTCCCAAACAGCTGACATTGGACTCCTGAGAACTTGAGCCGGGCCTGGGATCATTGGACTGGACCGTTAATAATTTAAAGAGTTCTGCTTTCCTAGTTGTGGCTGGGAAAGGAACGTTACTAGTGCGTAGTTCTGCTGCCAATTTAGGAATGGTCCAAGATCTCAGAGACCCGGGGGTAGCGTTATGAGAGATTCAGCTGGTGAGATAGGTTTAACTGGGCCTGGAGGGAGAGCCCTGGAGAGACATGTTGTCTTTATGGAGTGATTCTTGTGACTCCCTATGAAGAGAGTCACAATACTTTGAGCCAATGGTGATTGTAGCGGAACCTGGGTAACCTGGCTTTTTATCCCCTTTGATTAGAATAGGTCAGACCCATTTCCCCAGTAACTGGACGGAACACAGTTCCAGGATGCAATGTTTGACAATCTTTATTTGGGCACACAGCTTTTTATGCACAGACCTCCGCAGGGGGTCTCCATCCAACACAACACACAACACATACAAGAGGGGGCTGGTGAATAGATAACCATCTCCCACTCTGGGAGATACTAACTAGACACAGGGACACGCATGAATACCATTTACATTCAGGGGGATATAATTTTGGGCTCGCCCCCCCAGGACAGAAAGAGGTTACAGAGTTAACACTTACATAGCTAAATAGCAACAGACAATCAACTGAAAGGGCGTGAACCAAATCGCGGCAATCAGCATTCAGGGGAGGACGGAGGAAGGGCGCGAAACTTGGCTGCACCAATTGGTGCTCGGGAAGGAGGGGGGGTTTCGCCACCCAATCAGGGGAAAGGGCGCGAAACTCGATTGCACCAATCCGCTGAAAGGGGGGATTTTGCCGCTCAATCAGAAGAAAGGGTGCGAAACCCAGTTTGAACAAGCACTCCTTCTCTGATTGGTCGCTGCAGGGAGCGGGCGACAAATCAGCACTTTACTTGTGCCGACCAACCAGGAGAATGGGCATTCCTTCTCCCATTAGTCAACACAGACTTCCATGCAGCCAGTGGGAGCCCTGCGGCCGTGAGACCAACTCACAGCCCCAGGAACTCCCTGTTGGCGTGCGTTCCTCTCTCCGGTGGATACCCACACTCAGGCATCCGCCGGAGAGAGCATTCTCCTGGGCAGCCACGAGCCTAGCCTCATAGTAACATGGTATGTGATAGACACTGTGACAGAACCATCTGTATGTCTATTGTGGTGGATTCGTCTATTTTGCCCTTTCGTGTAAGTGGCTGTTTCTATAGCCCAGCCATAAGAATGACTTTGTTTTACCAAACAAACCTACCGAACGGATGGCCACCCAGGATAGAAGGTTAACCTCTTGATCCCAATTAGAACGTTGTGGTTAACCGCAGACACTTCTCAATTAAACCGAATTCAGGGTGGCCGTCATTCGCATGTCGACCACAAGGCAATGGCCATTTTAAAACACACAAAAGACCAGCGGTGTTCGGCACTGATTTCATGGAACTAAAAACGGTCCCTTTTTCTGCCGAACACCGCTGAAACAACGGGTCGCCTGGCTGCCCCGACGAAAGCGGACGAACACCGGCCGTTCGGGAGTTTTACATCACACAAAAAGACTTAACCCAGATAGCCTTCCTATGGAGTCAATCGCATACCGAAAGACTGTAAGGACTTTGACTCTATGGCGATTGAACTATGCGTATGGGATCTGAGCGCTATTTGCCAATAATATGCCCTCAGATCCAGGCTATCTGGGGATATGTGATGCAAATGTGAAATGTTCAGTTGTTATAAAGTTATGTATTTTTATGTATTTTCTGGTCTTTTACTTAAAATGGCGGTGTCTTTGTCCTGGAGATAATTTAATTACTTCCCAATTATCTTCAGGGCAGAGGGGAGGAAACCATACTGCATTGTGGGAAAAGCTTGTGACTGTATGTCTGTTATGTCCTCATGTCCATCTGTAATTCCAGTCTCCCATTTGGTCCCCTAGGGGAGTGTCCACCAAGTGGGAGACCTGCATAAATACAGGCAGGTAGCCCACAGTAAAGCCAGATCCTGTTTGACCCTCAATGCGGAGCTTTGTCTCGTTATTGGGGGGGATTTATTACTGATGCCTAGTGACTGATTACTGGAACCGAAAGCTGCTTGGTGGATATCTTTGTTCGGCGGTTAGCGGCGGTTCGTGGATTTCTGTTCGGGAGTTTGCAACCTTTCACGGATCCCGGTCGGGAGATTACCGCTTCCCCTGATGGTGGTTTGTATACTGCAGTCTATGCAAATGGAGTTACTGATATTGCGAAAGGGGAAGGTTAACTAAATGGCGGTTTCTCTCAAAGACACCAGGGGTGTCTTAACAATTGGTGGCAAGCGACGGGATGAATCCCACAGCACAGAAGGTCAGCTACACATCCCAATTTGGTGGAGGAAATGCAGTATGAGGAATTAAGGCGTGCTACCCTTAAAGACATACTTGAACGCCGAGGATGGTCAGCAAGCAATTTGAAAAAGCGAGAAATTATTGCTTTGCTACTGGAGATGGATGCAGCACAGAGAATGGAGAGAGCTAATGTGCCCAGCATTTTGGATTTAACACCCGAGGAGATACAGTTTAACCGGGCAGTTCACATAAGGCTGGCACACTTTGGCCCCAACCCCTCAGCAGACATTGTGGAACGTGTGCAATCAGCGGTGATGGCACACCAAGCGCTCCAGGAAAGAGGAGCTGCAGCAGTAGAGGTACCCAATAACAATTTTGGAAGAAAAAAGGTACCCTTTGCTGCGTTTAAAAATGTTATTGAAACAGAGGGAGAGATTGACGGGTTCCTGGCTGACTTTGAAAGGCAGTGTGTACCAGGTACCCGCTGACGAATGGGTCACCATCCTCTCTGGGAAATTATCCAGCCGGGGCTAGTGAAACATTTCGGGCCATCCCAGAGGAGGAGATCACCAGCTACCGAGTGATGAAAGATGCGCTCTTAGCCAGGTACGCGGTCACCCCAGAAGCATACAAAACGACGATTTAGGGAGACTAACAAGCAGGTTGGCGACTCCTATGTAGAGTGGGCCTGCAGGGTCCACCGTACCGCAGCCCACTGGATGGCAGGATGCCAAGCGGTAACTGGGGAAGAGGTAATGCAGGTGTTTTTGCAGGAACACTGCTTCGACAGGTTACCTGCCGGGGTCAGAGAGTGGGTCAGAGATAGAAAACCCTCTACCCTACCCGAGGCTGCCCGTCTGGCAGACGAATATACAGATGCCCGCAAGTTGGACAGTACAGCTACCAAGGTTTCTGCCAGAATGGAGTACTGACCAACAGCAACCCCAGCACCAACCGCATACCAACCAACAGTACACCGCACTCCAGCAGTGCCGCTAGCGAACAATTACACGCAACCCTCCCGGGTTTCATTAAGAACAGCTACAGCAGCCTTTGGACTTGAGTAAGGGACTAACAACCCTCTTAACAACCCTTAAATAGGGACATTTACATTTTGAAAACAGTGGTTTAGTATCCTTTGACTGTGAGCCCAGTGAACAGGTAGCAGACAGTCAGGCTGTTAATTTAATATGAGGTCCATGCAAAAAAGTTAACAAAACACTGCAGTGCTTTAGAGGGAAAAGAACTGCAGTGGTACCTGTGACAAATTGCGCATCGCCACTGGGTTTTGGAGAGGCGTGCTTGCCAGCCTCTTGCCCTGTGACTATGGCCCCTGAGGTGTATTGTCTTATAAAAACTCAGTTTATGCAGATTAGATTCTAAAGTACTGTTTCTGCTCCTTTAAGAATTTTGGCAAGGATTTGCACTTTCGAAGTGGCACTTCGGATACAACCGAATTTCTGAAGTAGTCGAAGTGGCCACCATTATTTTTATTCAGTCGTAAGCGTTCAGCAGTGTTTGTTCGTCGAATTCATGGAACTCAAATCGGATACACGATAACACGAACAACGCTGAACTTTACCTTCTCCAGACTTCAACACTTCGACGGAAATGAAGTGCGTTCGACAATTCGAATGCCACTTTAACTTTGAGTATTTTCACGAATGGACCCTGTTCGTGCATTCGAATGGAACTTAGTATTTGAACTATTGGAAATAGACCGGCTGCACAGCCAAATTCTCTGGAACTGTTTTGGGCATGAAAATGTGCGTTCAGTCAGTCAAATATGACTTCCACAAACCTTTTGAACCCCTGCTCTGATCTGTGTGATTTTTTGATATGTTGTTCGCCTAGATCAGAGTTATCCAGGGATGTATAATTTATGGGGATATGTTTGTGTTTTGTGGTGTTTCTGGACTTTGGGTAAAAATGGATATTTTCTGCCTGTGGATAATTAGGTTATTCCATTAGCTAGCTTAATTATTTAACAGGCAGAGGGGAGGGATTGCTGACTGCATGTGGGAGTGTTACTGTACTAATTGTTGGTTCTATTGGTTCGCGTCCCTTTTGTCCCAGTTTACCATCAGGTCCAGGGGGTGTGCCTTTGGCCTGAAAATGTATATAAAAGAAATGCCTTTGTGTTGATTAAACCAGACCTTCTTACCCTTTAACTCGCAGCCTCGTCTCGTGTTGTAGGGAACAGCTATACCTGCTGTATCACTGCTAGCTCTTATAAAATCTCTCTTCAGCTATACAACTATACTCTCCTGGAGGAGAGGTCCTTCCCTCAGCTATACCCTCCTGGAGGAGAGGTCCTTCCTACACAGTCCTGGGTCCAGAGGTTGGACAAGGGTGGGAAGGTAATGGCGAGACCCCAACCAAGCTACGGCGGTTCGTCGAATCTGCGGTGGCTATGGTGTCTGGTGCGGTGCTGATGTTCCTTGGTAAGCGCTAGGAGTATCGATTGGTGGACGGTCCATCAGAGTACCCTACTCCCAAATACCCCTAAAAGAAGGCACTTACATTTTGAAATCACAACAGTGGTAGCAGCAGCTTTTGGACATATGAGCCCAGGAAAGAGGTAGCAGTGGTAGACATTCAGGTAGTCACTTTAATGTGAAATTGTTGTTTCTTTCAGTGCCAAAGCCAACTGCTACTTTTCCTCCATTACCCTTTTCTCCTGCATCTCATGCACTTTTTTACTTAGACTGTCTTTCAATAGAGGAAGGGCATTTCTCCGCATAGCCAGATTCCCCATCATCTCATGCACTTTATTACTTAGACTGTCTTTCCATAGAAGAAGGGCATTTCTCCGCATAGCCAGAATGAACTTTGTTCTTGGATCACAAATGGTGGTCTGCATTTACTAAGAAACATAGAATGTGACGGCCGATAAGAACCATTCGGCCCATCTAGTCTGCCCAGTTTTCTAAATACTTTCATTCCCTGATCTTATCTTATAGCTAGGGTAGCCTTATACCTATCCCCTGCATGCCTAAACTCCTTCACTGTGTTAACCTCCACTACTTCAGCTGGAAGGCTATTCCATGCATCCACCACCCTCTCTGTAAAGTAATACTTCCTGAAATTATTTTTAAACCTTTGTCCCTCTAATTTAAGAGTATGTCCTCTTGTTGTGGTAGTTTTTCTTCTTTTAAATATAGTCTCCTCCTTTACTGTATTGATTCCCTTTATGTATTTAAATGTTTCAATCATATCCCTCATGTCTCGTCTCCAAGCTATACATGCTAAGATCATTTGACCCTTCATTGTACGTTTTATCCCGTTATCCATGAATCAGGTCAGTAGCCCTTCTCTGAACTCTCTCCAAAGTATCAATATCCTGCTGAAGATACGGTCTCCAGTACTGCGTACAATACTCCAAGTGAGGTCTCACCAGTGTTCTATGCAATGGCATGAGCACTTCTCTCTTTCTACTGCTAATAATTCTCCCTATGCAACCAAGCATTCTGCTAGCATTTCCTGCTGCTCTATTACATTTACTGCCTACCTTTAAGTGATCTAAAAAGAATTATTCCTAAATCCAGTTCCTCAGATGTTGAGGTTAGTAGGGTATCAAATATACCCTTGGGTTTGTATACTATCCTTACCTTTTTGAGTCATTTACCCCACTTCCTCTAGCATGTAAGCTCATTGAGAAGGGCCCTCAACCCCTCTGCTCCTGTGTGTCCAACTTGTCTGGTTTCAACTACACCCATTGTAAAGCGCTGCTGAATTTGATGGCGCTATATAAATATCATAATAATAATAATATGTCTAAATCTTGCACTTATCCACAATAAATGTCAGCTGACCAATTTTCTAGTTTTCTTAAATCAGCCGTTTGGCTTATCCCTCCTGTTATCAACCCTGTTACATATCTTAGTATCAGCATCAAAAAGACATACCTTACCATCAAGACCTTTTGCAATATCAATAATAAAAATATTAAAGAGAATATGTCCAAGTACATATTCCCGAGGTGCTCCACTGGTAACAATTCATGCTTAGAATATACTCCATTGACTACAAACCCTCTGTTGCCTGTCATTCAGCTACTGCCTAACCCATTCAACAATATTGATAATCCAAACTTAAAGATTGCAGATTACTGATGAGCCTTATATGTGGAATAGTGTCAAAAGCCTTATTGAAATCTAGGTAAGCAATGTCTACTGCACCACCCTCATCTATTATTTTAGTTACCCAATGAAAAAATCAGATTAGATTAGTTAATGGATAGATAAGATTAGTTTGGCATGATTTCCGTGAAGTAAACCCGTGTTGTCTCTGATCTTGAAATCCATGTGATTTTAGATGTTCAACAATCCTATCCTTTAACATGGTTTCCATTACTTTCCACATTACTGAAGTAAGGCTTACTGGCCTATAGTTGCCCTACTCCTCCCTACTACCTTTCTTTTGAATGGGCACAACATTTGCTAACTTCCAATCTGCTGGGACTACTCCTGTTAACAATGATTGGTTAAATAAATCTGTTAATGGTTTTGCTAGTACACCACTAAGCTCTTTTAATAACTTTGGGTGTATTCCATTAGGCTCCATTGACTTTTTTGTCTTTACTTTTGACAGTTGAAATATAACCTCTTCCTCTGTAAACTCACATGTAACAAATGACTAGTGATGTCCCGAACCGTTCGCCAAACGGTTCGCGAATGGTTCGCCACGGACTCATCACTGCATAAACTTTGACCCTGTACCTCACATTCCAGCCAATCAGCAGCAGACCCTCCCTCCTAGACCCTCCCACCTCCTGGACAGCTCACTAAGAATGCAGCTTCACAATGAATGTAAAATGGATGCTGTCCAGGAGGTGGGAGGGTCTGCTGCTGATTGGTTGGAATGTGTCTGCTGACTGTGAGGTACAGGGTCAAAGTTTACTCAATGATGAGTCCGTGGTAAACCGTTTGCGAACCGTTCGGCGAACCATTCGGGACATCACTACAAATGACTAATTTGTCCTTTTTCCTTACTGAGGTCCTTCTCCTTCATTTTCATCTGTAAATACTGAACAAAAATATTCATTAAGGCAGTCAGCTAAACCTTTATCCTCTTCAGTCAGCTAAACCTTTATCCTCTTCCTTCTTTTCTTTTCAAACTAACAAATCATTGTTTTACTTTCTTTTTCTCATTTATGTATGTAAAAAATGTGTTGTCCCCTTGTTTTACTGACTGTGCTATTTTCTCGTCTGTATGTAATTTGGAAGTTCTTATAATTTGCTTTGCCTCTTTCTGCCTAATTTTATAGATCTTCCTCACTCTGGCTTTTTTATATTTACTAAATGCTAACTTTTAGTTTTTTACTAATTCTGCGGAATACCACAATGGTTTCTTAATTTTTTGCTTTTACTGACAAGCCTAATGCAATTTTCTGTTGCCTTCAGCAGTGCAACTTTTAAATAATCCCATTTGTATTGGACTCCATTTAAACTGCTCCAGTCTGATAATGACTCCTGTGCACATATTCTAATTTTAGAAAAGACTGTTTTTCTAAAGTCTAGAACTTTTTTTTTTTGTGTGCTGTGACTCAGTCACTGTTCTTATATTAAACCACACTGACTGGTATTTTTTTTTGCTTTTACTGACAAACCTGATGCAATTTTCTGTTGCCTTCAGCAGTGCAACTTTTAAATAATCCCATTTGTATTGGACTCCATTTAAACTTCTCCAGTCTGATAATGACTCCTGTACAAATATTCTAATTTTAGAAAATACTGTTTTTCTAAAGTCTAGAACTTTTGTTTTTGTGTGCTGTGACTCAGTCACTGTTCTTATATTAAACCACACTGACTGGTAATTTTTTGCTTTTACTGACAAGCCTAATGCAATTTTCTGTTGCCTTCAGCAGTGCAACTTTTAAATAATCCCATTTGTATTGGACTCCATTTAAACTGCTCCAGTCTGATAATGACTCCTGTACACATATTCTAATTTTAGAAAAGACTGTTTTTCTAAAGTCTAGAACTTTTGTTTTTGTGTGCTGTGACTCAGTCACTGTTCTTATATTAAACCACACTGACTGGTAAACCCAAGTTGTTCTAAACTTCCACCTACAGTAATATCTGATATCAAATCTCCATTTGTTAACAATAAATCTAGTATGGCCTCCTTACAAGTTGTCTCCTCAATGACTTGTTTTAGAGACAATCCCAGTAGGGAGTTTAGAAGAAGCAGCTGTTTTGGTTTCCCAGTTTCCTCAAATAGTAGATTATCTAACTCTTCTATTTATCCTGGGAGCCTATAAATCACACCTACACGAGTTACTGTGTGATTACCAAATTCTAACGTAATCCAAACGGACTCTATATTCGCCTCACTTACTTTTATGAGGCTAGATTTTAGGCCACCCTCTCTTGCCTTCCCTGTCTTTTCTACATATGTTCCAGTAATTTTTCTCATTATACCATGTCTCAGTATTCCCTACACTGCGAACATTTGTAGACATGACTCTAAGCTTATCATTTTTTTAACACATTTGCTACAGACACTTTCTGTCCTTGTTCTTGTTTTGAGGGCAATCTGATTTATGTTTTATCACCCTTTTGCCCCCTCCACTCCTAGTTTTAATATTTCCTAGCAAAACCTCTGAACTGCTCACTGAGAATATTTGTTCCCTTTTGAGAAAGATGCAAACCATACAAACATGCATAAGCTTTTTGTACAGTTTATTTCCATTCCAAATAGAGCTACCTTGAGAAATGAAGCCACAAGTTAAAGTCCCTAATACGCATCTGTAACAAAAACCCCCAGTTAACCAGCATAATGGCTGCTTATATATATAAATATATATATGTGAACTTAGACTATTTGTTGTTTTGCCTTCAGTAATCGTTTACTTGGTCTCATGGACTTTTATTTGGACTAGTGCTGGCTCTTTCAAAACAGTGTATGGACATATTGAAACTTTTGGGCCACTTTTTCTGCCCCTTTGAATCCAGGGGAAGGTGTGCCTCTTCCCCTCCCCCTGTCTCATTGTTCTCCAGCAGGGCGTTGTCCCAGGGACACTGCCAAACCAGTTGGAACTGGCTGCTTTGTTCCTCCTTGGTCAAAATATGACTTCCACCTATCCCCTGAACCACTTAACCGATTCAAGTGAATTTTGGATATGTTTGTCCCCAAATTATGCTGGTTATAAAAATACAAGTTTTATTGATATCGCATGTAAACTCACAAAGTCACAAAAATGGCATAAAAGTATGTTTTTTTAGCTTGGAGATAATTGAGTTGATACAGTAATTAACTCAATTATCTCCCAAGCAAAGGGGAGGATTCTCATTGTAAAAATTTTTGGCTGTTAAATTTACAGTTCCAGTGCCCCACAAGGTCCACGTAGGTGGTAACCTTGCTGGGAAAGTTTATATAAGCAGGAATAAACGCTCGTTGGAGTCAGTTCTTCTTCGCCCTTCAAAACGTAGCTGTGTCTCGTTGTTGAAAGGGAATTTGCAGCTTAATCACTAGCTTTTTTCAGAGCTCTGCCACTCTATTGCTCCAGGGATCCAGCGGATGGGACTTCACCTCTCCCCTACAGCCCAGCATCTTGCCTGGAGGACGTCGTCAACGGCAGATACCGCTTTCTACCCTGGATAGCCGTTACAGCATCCGTCTGTCATTCTGAATGTTATGCACACACAGAACTTCAGAGAATGACAGTGTGGAAGCAACCTGACGTATATCACTGACAAAAACCCAAAACACTTCCTTTACATCTGAAACCTCATTGCAAGCCAATTTGTCCCTACAACCAATTCCCCTTCCTGCTTTGCTAGCGTAACAATATTACAAATGCATCTCTGTAGCTCAAGGAACACATCTCACAAGGCCACTATTGTCCAGCTCCACACCTCTTAATTGAATCCTCCAACAACAACTGCTTTCTATCAGGCCTCACTTTATCCTTTTTGTCATTGGTTCCAGTCTTGCACAACTTTGAAATGGATGGTGGGTCCACAAACTCGGTGTCTGAGCTTGTCTCCATAACACCACCACACTTGTGCCTGAGCTTATTTAGATAACACCACTACACTCGGTGCCTAAGCTTGTCTCCACAACACCACTACACTTGGTGCCTGTGCCTGTCTCCATAACACCACTGAAAATGAATTATGTAGAGCAACAGACTGTGCAATATGCCTTTTATCCACAACTCTAAGTCTACCAGATCCTACAATAATCCATTTGCCATTCCTAGGATGTCTCTGTGGCACTTTACGAAGTGTTGTTCATTCAAACCGGAGCTGTGTTGCTGATCCATAACCTCAAATGAATCAGAATAGATCTGAACCCTGCACTGTGACCAGTTGTGTCACCTGATGGGTCTGTTGTTACACTGGAGATATTTGGCTGCCACCAATGTGGCATAGCCCTGTTTATGAATAGATTTCCAGATAATGGTTTGAACTGGCCCAAAATATATTTGTATAACGTTACCATATCCCCTCTGAGGCACCGTTTTTCCAAAACTAAAGAGATTTAAATTTTTTTAACCTTTCTTCGTAACTAAAGTGCTCCATTCCTTTTATCAATTTTGTAGCTCGTCTCTGCACTTTTTCTAACAGGTTAGAACAGGTGCCCAAAATTGCACAGCATATTCAAGGTGTGGTCTTACCAGCGATTTATAAAGAAGCAAAATTATATTTGCATTCCGAGAATTTATGCCTATATTTATACATGACAAAACCTTACTAGCCTTAGCAACTGCAGATTGACATTGCATATTGCTGCCTAATTTGTTTTCTATAACAATTCCCAAATCCTTCTCATGTGTTGTTATCCCTAATTTCCTACAATTAAGGATGTAAGTTGCTTGTGCATTCTCTACATTAAATTTCATCTGCCATTTTAGTGCCCAGTCCCCCAATCTATCTAAATCCCTCTGCAGAAAAGCAATATCCAGCTTACACTCATCTGCAAACACTAAAACACGGCTTTCAATGCCTTTTTCAAGACCATTTATAAATATGATATCCATCTAGACCAATTTCTTTTAGTTTGAAGACTAACCTATTGTGAGGAACCATATCAAATACCTTGGCAAAATCCAAGTAGATCATATCCACTGCAACACCAGGATCTATACTTCTACTTACTTCTTCGTATGATGCAATTAGGTTAGTTTGACATGACCTTCAATAAAACCATGCTGATTATTGCTAATAACAAAGTTCTTCCAAATTAGTTCCAGACTTTTATCCCTTAATAGCCCTTCAAAGGTTTTCCCAGTCACAGAAGTTAAGCTCACAGGTCTATCATTTCCAGGCAAGGATTTTGAACCCTTTTTAAATATAGGAATGACATCTGCCTTCCTCCAATCCTCTGGTACAATACCTGAAACAAAATAATCTTGTTTCTATACAATGGTATGAGCACTTCTCTCTTACTGCTGCTAATACATCTCCATGTAAAATCATTACATTTACTGCCTACCTTTAAGTCATCTAAAAATAATTATTCCTAAATCCCTTTCCTCAGATGTTGAGGTTAGTAGGGTATGAAATATTCTATACTCTGCCCTTGGGTTTTTTGCCATTATCTTGCACTTATCCACATTAAATGTCAGTTGCCATAGCTCTGACCATTTTCTAATTTACCTAAATCATTTGGCATATGGCTTATTCCTCCTAAACCCTGTTGCAAATTGTAGTATCATCATCAAAAAGACATACCTTACTATCAAGACCTTCTGCAATATCACTAAAAAAAATATTAAAGAGAATGGGTCCAAGTACAGCTCCCTGAGGTACCCCACTGGTAAATAGACCTTGCTTTGAATATACTCCATTGACTAAAACAATCTGTGGCCTGTCCTTCAGCAACTGCCTAATCCATTCCACAGTAGTGGAATCTAAACTTAAAGATTGCAGTTTATTGATGAGCCTTCTATGTGGAATAGTGTCAAAAGCCTTTTTCAGCTTAAAATACTGAACAAAAATATTAATTGAGGCAGTCAGCTAGACCTTTATCCTCTTCTATATACCTTCCTTCTTTTGTTTTTAATCAAACTAATTCTTATTTTACTTTACTTTTCTCATTTATATATCAAAAAAACATTTTAATCCCTTTTTTTTTACTGACTGTGCTCTTCTGTGTGTGGTTTGGAGGTTCTTATATCTTTCTTTGCCTCTTACTGCCTAATATTATAGATCTGCCTGTCTTTCTTACTCTGGGTTATTTTATGTTCTGTTGCTTTTAGTAGTGCAACTTTTAAATAATCCCATTTCTCCTGGTCTCCATTTAAACTGCTCCAGTTTTATAAGGACTTCCTTATGCATATTCTAATTTTAGAAAGGTCTGTTTTCTAAAATCTAAAACTTTTTTTTCTGTGTGGTGTGTGTAGCGGAGACCTATTTTCCCATAGAGTTCTCCACTGGTATTAGAACAGTGAAGCAGGAACAAGAAGTTAACCCAGGATAAACAGCATCAATGATAACAAAATAATCCAGTAATATCCCATTATAGAAAACAAATGAAACGAAAATGACCTTATAACACGAATATTGAAGACAGCCCAACACAATCCGCTACAGTGTGACTCACTTTTCTTATATTAAACCACACTGACTGGTGATCACTAGATCACTAGATCCTAAACTTTCACCTACAGTAATATCTGATACTAAATCTCTGTTTGTTAACACTAAATCGAGTATGGCCTCCTTATGAGTTAGCTCCTCAACGACTTGTTTTAGAGATAATCCCAGTTGGGAGTTTAGAAGATGCTTGCACTCCCTGCACAAGCAGCTGTTTTGGTTTTCCAGTTCACATCAGGAAAATTAAAGTCACCCATGATAATAGTTACATAGTTACATAGTAACATATCCTGAAAAAGAGACATGTGTCCATCAAGTTCAGTCTTACTCACATTTGTTTTTTACTGTTGATCCAAAAGAAGGCAAAAAAATCCAGTTTGAAGCACTTCCAATTTTTCAACAAACTAGGAAACAAATTGCCAATTGACCCCAGAATGGCAGTTAGATTTATACTTGGATCAAGAAGCTATTATCTTATAGTTAAAAAATTATATAATTGAATATTCTGTTTTTTCAAGTATGCATCTAGTTGCTGTTTAAACATCTGTACAGACTCTGATAAACCCACTTCTTCAGGCAGAGAATCCGCACATCTTTATTTTTCTTATGGTAACAACACCTTTTCTTTGCCTTAGACTACATCTCTTTCTTCCAGTCTAAACGAATGACCTTGTGTCCTATGTAAAGTCCAGTTTGTGAATAGATTTCCACACAATAGTTTGTATTGGAAATTATATTCTCATCCCGAGAATTAATGCAGTTTTTCATGTTTGGAAAAACGGCGCCTCAGAGGGGTATGATAACATAATACAAATATATTCGCAGCAAGTACAAACCATTATCTGGAAAACTATACATAAACAGAGCTATACATAGGACACGAGGGCACGCATTTAGGCTGGAAGAAAGGAAATTTAATTTTTTTTATAGTAAGCGCAAAAGGATATGGAATTCTCTGCCTGAAGAGGTGGTTTTGTCAGAATCCATACAGATGTTTGAACAGCAATTGGATAAATACTTGCAAAAACATAACATACAGGGATATAATTTCTAATTAGTGGGGAAAAAGCATGATGCAAGGAGATATCTGAATGCTATTTTGGGGTCAAGAAGGAATTTTTTTCCTAGGTTGCTGCAAAATTGGAAGCGCCTCAGACTGGGGTTTTTGAATCAACAGCAAAAATATATGTGAAGAAGGCTGAACTTGATGGGCGCAAGTCAGGTATGTAACTATGTGACTATTTAACATATTGCCATGTCACAGAAAAATCAATCAAAAACTAAGAGTTAGTATTTTTTAGAGGCACATATGTGTAACATTGAGGATCTCTCCAGACTTGAGGATCTCTCCAGATTGTTGAACATCTAAAAACACATGATTGCAAGTTTTACTCAGTGTACCTTGTGCTGCATGTATGCATGCCTAGATAAATCTGTCCAGGGTGCATACCTCTGTGGTGGGTGTGAGCGAGTGACTTTTCTGGAAGCTCAGATTGGAGAGCTGGAGAGGCAAATTGCAACACTGAGGGAGATTGACAATCTTCCTGCATGGCTGAAGTCTTGGTGCAGGAAAGAAGGTTTTGGGTTTTTAGAGCACTGGGCCGATTTTGCGCTTGAGTACTGTGACGAGACTAATCTGGCCACATTGCATTGGTGAAGCCTGGTTGCTCGCCTGTTACCTTTGGACTATGGCCCCATGTTAAAAGCCTTCTTTTCCCCTGCAGAAAAGGCTTATTCGATCCTTTCTGCCCGGCGGTCGGTAGATTCAATCTACCGAACTAACGCACGAATGACTGGACCACCTGGGAGCTGGAGTGTGCCATCAATTAACCTCCTAGAATCTGCGGTTACCTGCAGCTTAATTGATGAATGCTGGGTGGCCGCCATTCGTATACCGAACACGAGATCGCGGCCATTTTAAACACGCGAATGCACAGCGGTGTTCGACGCCCAACTCATGGAACTGAAAACGGATACATTTTGGCGCGAACACCGCTGAAGCCGACCTCCCTTCTTGTTCGGTAGACATGCACAAACGGCCCTTTATTCGGTAGTTGTACCCGAATACACCATACCCCAGAGAGGAATCCCGTGGAGCTCATTTGTATGAAAACTGACTTTGTGAACACTTTGGCTCCACTGCGATTGGACTGTGTGCATAGGATCTGAGCGCTATTCGGAACTTTGGTGCGCTCAGATCCTAGCTATCTGGGGACCTGTTGTATGCCTGTAAAATGTGGTAACAGTTATGTATTTTTATGTCTTTTTGTTATTGTCACCTAAAATGGGCTCTGTCCTGAGAGATAATTGAATTACTTCACAATTATCTCCCTGAGCAGAGCAGAGGGTTCTGGGTAAGAAAAGGGGAATGGCTAAGTGTGTACCCTGTGATTGGTTGCTACGATGTCTTTGTCACAGTCTCCCATTTGGTCCCCTAGGGGAGTGTCCACCAGGTGGGAGACCTGCATAAATACTGGGCAGGTAGCCCTCATTAAATCAGACCACTGCTTGTCCCTCAACACGGAGCTCTGTCTTGTTTTTGGGGGGATTTACTGATTGCTAGGAGTGTAAGCCGCTTGGGTGCTTTTCCTATTCGTCTGCTAGCAGCTATTTGTGAGGTTCCAGTTCGGGAGTTTGGAGTGCTATTTTATATGCGGTTCGAGAGTTTGGTGTTCTGCAGTAGCTGTGCCTGTATCTCTGGAAGGGGAAAACTTCTAAACGGTGGTTTAACCCTTTTATGCCTGGGGGTGCCGTAACAGGTACAACCTGTATAGTCGTTATGGATTGCACCTAAACGGAAGAGGGTCTGCTGTGCTGGGGGATAGGATGGCTAGAAGATTGTAGGAGATTTTAAACTAGTCAAATCAATCTAGAAAATGAAGATAGGATAGAAAGGAGATGGGCTTTAGCTCAGAACAAAGGGGGTGGAGATCGGGGGAGGGGAAAGCTCAGAACAGAGGAGGTATGTAATATTGATAATTCACAAAAAGTACAAATGACTCATGATAATATTAACCATGCTTACTAATGCAAGGAGCCTATATAACAAAATGGGGGAACTAGAGGCAATAGCATACACTAAACAATATGATATAATAGGCATAACAGAAACATGGTGGGATGATACACATGACTGGGCAGTTAATTGAAATGGGTACATGTTATTTAGGAAGGATAGGAAAAACAAGAAGGGTGGTGGGGTATGTTTGTATGTCAACCATGAGTTAAAGTCAAATCTTAGGCATGTGGAGTGTGACAAGGAAAATGTGGAAGCTTTATGGGTAGATATCTGCTTGGGGCAAACAAAGGGAAATCAATTATTGGTTGGGATATGTTATAAACCACCTAATGTAAATATTAATGAAGAAGAACAGCTGTTAGAGCAAATTGGGAAAGCTGCAAATCTGCAAAGGTAACACGTTAATTATTGGAGATTTTAATTACCCGGACATAAATTGGGATAGAGGGACTAGTACTTCAGCAAGGGGAATCAAGTTTTTAAATGCATTAAATGACACCTTTATGTCACAACTGGTACAAGCACCAACTAGAAAGGATGCTTGTCTGGATCTCGTTATAACAAACAATGTTGATCTTTTGACCAATATTCAAGTAGGGGAGCATTTGGGAAATAGTGATCACAATATGGTAATTTTTTTTTTTTTTTTTTAGTTTTGAAGCATGTGCATGTTACATCAGACATTTCTAGACATTTGTTATGGCTGTATCATATAGTATGTCACATATGCAGTTGTTTGTCGTAGTAATTGCATACAGAATTCGTCAAACCAGTTTCCATTATAAACAGATACAGTACGTGGCCTTTCATGGCCCTATCTCCAATAGGATGACGGTTCGTTGAAACCAGTGCACCTTTTTTGTTCTGGATATATATATCATAACACAACAAGTATAGTAATAACATAATAATGTAACATAACATAATGGGGGGTAGAGAAAAAAAGAACGGGGGTGGTGAGGAGAAGGGACGGAGGGGGGGTGTTGTCAAGGTATTCAGTTGCGCACTGTCTATGTTAGTCAACCTCTATGTGTGTGGTGTTCTAGGACTTGGTTCGCATTTGCTTTCATGTTCCTTACTGTTTGAGGGTGGCTCGGCTTTGCATGTATCCCACATTTCCCAGGCCGTTACCCAAAATTTTTTCCCGGGTCTCGTTTTTCTAGCCATGATTTCGTACCGTTTGGCTGATTGTATAATTTGGGTGCATGTTGCCAATTGCGGAGTGTGTCTCGATAACCAGTTCCTGCCTATTAGTTGTAGAGCCGCTATCAGAATATGGTACATGAGATATTTAACAGATATTGCTATGTTTGGAGGGAACAATTGTAAAAGGTATAGTTCAGGCCGAGGCGGCATGACTATCTTTGTAGTGGTTTTTATCAGTTCGGAGATTTGTGCCCAAAAGGGTACAATTTTAGGGCATGACCACCAGATGTGGTATGTGGTTCCTGGTTGGTCCATGCATCTCCAGCATTTACCTGTGGATTGGGTGTTTATGTGTTTTAGCTTGGTTGGGACAATGTGCCAGCGATATAGTATCTTCCTGGATATTTCTACGTGTGAGGCGCACATCGTTACGTTTTTATTAGCTGAGAATATGTGGAGCCACTGTGTGTCGGTTAGTTTCATATTTAGGTCTCGTTCCCAGGCTGCGATAAACAAGGGTTTTGTGAGATATGCTTTGCGGGTGATTTCATGGTATAATTGAGACATAGGTTTATTTGACGGTTTGGTTTGCAGACACATTTGTTCCGCTATGGACAATTGCGTGGATTGTTCGGGTTGGGCCTTTGGGGGACAGTATTTATGAAACCATGATTTTATCTGCATGTGAGAGAAGTGTAGTGTCTTCGGTACTTGATATTCAGTTTGTAGGGGCTCAAACGAGAGCAGGTTGCCTTTATCGAGTAGCTGGTGGAGGTGTATCACGCCATGGGAGGTCCATGTTTTTGCATTAAAGTAGCCGGCGACGGGTACTCTGACGGCCAGGATTTGGTCTGGTGTTTATCCCATAAGGACAGGGATAACCTAGTTGTTGGTAGCATATTTCTGTATTTGGGTCTGTGGGCGCGCGGTAACCATGCGAGTGTGGTGATATCTTGTCCTTCTGTGTAAGTGAACTCAATGACGAGCCATTCTGGCTGGGGATCTTGATGGAATGCTGTGATTAATGGGCTGAGAATTGATGCAGAGTAATACGCCTGTAGGTGTGGGATCCCCAGACCCCCCTGCTTGAAGGGTTTGTGTAACACGGATGCTGCTACTCTCGCTTTTTTCTTGTTCCATATGAACTTGTTGAGGAGGGTCTGTGTTTCCCGGAGGAAAGTGTGTGGGAGTTGAATGTGTAATGTACGGAATAAGTACTGAAGTTTGGGTAAAAGTATCATTTTTGTCGCTGCAATTCGTCCCAGCCAGGAGACGTATTTGCCTGCCCAACCCATGATTTGACTTTTCAGTTTGTTCACTAGTTTAGTGTAGTTTGCCTGAAACATGGCATGCGATGTGGCTGTAAATGCAACTCCTAAAAAGGTGAGGTTGTCCGTTCGCCAGTCGTATGCGTGGGCCTTTTTTAAATCTTGCAAAGTGCGGGATGACACGTGCATCCCCATTGCTTGCGTTTTGGAAATATTAAGTTTGTAGTACGAGCATGCACTGTAATCAGTCAGGATGTCGTGTAGATGTGGGAGTGATGTGTGTGGTGATTCTATGGAAAGCATGATATCATCTGTGAACATTGTGAGTTTGTGTTCCACGGGGCCTATTTGTATACCCTTGACATTGTGACTCATTCTTATATGTTGCGCTAATGGTTCCAAGATCAGGATGTACAGCAACAGGGATAGTGGGCACCCCTGGCGTGATCCGTTTGTAATACTAAATTTTTTTGATATAAATCCGCTATTGGCTACATGAGCCGATGGTGTGGAGTATAGCGCCGTCAGTAGGGACATGAAATTGGGAGGGAAACCGAATTTTGTTAGCGTAGCCTCAAGGAATCCCCAGTGCACCCTGTCAAACGCTTTCTCAGCATCCAGCGAAAGGAACACACTGGGTCTCCCCGAGGCCCGCGCGCTTGACATCAGATCTAGTAGTTTCCTGGTACCATCCGAGCCCTGCCTCCCCTGACAAACCCTACCTGATTGGTGTGTATTACCGAAGGGATTATGGAAGCAAGCCTATTTGCATAAATTTTTGCTAGCAACTTCGTGTCGGTATTTAGTAAAGAAATCGGTCTCAGGTTTTGGGGTTTGGTAGGTGGCTTCCCCGGCTTGGGCAGCGTTGCAATGTGGGCTATCAGCATTTCTGACGGCATATAGCTTGTCGTTATGATGGTGTTAAACTTTTCTCTATTTGCGGGGCTAGGGTGGATTTGAAACATTTGTAATAAATGTTCGTGAAGCCGTCTGGGCCTGATGCCTTTCCCTGTGGTAGGGCGTCTATAGTTTTTTCTATCTCAGTGGCGGTGATCGGTTGTTGGATCATCACCTGTTGGGTTGGGCTAAGGGAGGGGAGATAGGCCTGTGTTAAGAAGTTTTGTATTTCTTGAGTTGTGGGTTGATGTGTGTTAGTATCCTGTGCTAGATTATAGAGTTTGTCGTAGAACTCTGCCATGGTGTCATTTATCTGCTGTGGGTTTGTAATTTTGATGCCTGCAGTGTTAAATACATGTGGTATTTTCGACCTGGTTTGGTGTTGCCTTAATAGGGAAGCCAGTGCTCTCCCCGCTTTGTTACCCTGAGAGTATTGCTTCAGTTTGAGTTTAGTCAGTGTATCTGATGTCCGTTGGAATAATATATCGTTTATTGCTTTAGTAGTGCGGTATATTTCGTCCTGGCCTGCAGTAGACGGGGAAAGGAGATGGGCACTTGTTTGGTCTCTGAGTTTTTTGAGACGGGTGGTGTATTCATCACATGCCCTCCTTTTCAGGTATGCTGCCCGGCTAATAAGAAGTCCCCGTATTACCGCCTTATGGGCGAGCCATACATTTTGGGGTTGTGTTTGCGGCGTGTAGTTTGTGTCGAAGTATAGTTTTATTTCCTTTTCTATGGTATTTTTGAAGGAGTCATCAAGCAGAAGGTTGTCATGCAGTTTCCATGGGGAGGTTCCCCTGAAGGGAAATTTGTCTTGTAGGGTTAGGCGTACGGGCGCATGGTCTGACCATGTCAGGTCTCCTATCGTGCAGTCTATCATGGATATGAGGAGATGCGCAGCAATGAGGATGTGATCAATGCGTGAGCTGGTTTTATGGGCTCTTGAGTGGTGTGTGTATTCACGAACATTTGGATGTGTTGTGCGCCAGGAGTCATAGATATTGTATTCTAGCAGCACCTTTGTCATAGCTTTGCATTGGGGTTTGAGGGCGGCCTGCCTCCTGGTGTCACCAGCGACTGTCGTGTCTAAAGTTCGATCGAATATATGGTTCAAGTCTCCACACAAAATCAAATTTTGCAATTGTGGGCTAGGTATTTTGGAAAGGACTTTGTGTAAGAAATTTCTTTGGTTAGTGTTCGGGCTGTACACTGAGGCAATTGTGTAATTAATGTCGTTTATCGTGCAATGAATGATGATGTATCTGCCTTGGGAATCTTTTTTGACTTGGAGTAGTTCGAATGAAAGTGATTTGTGGACAAGTATGGATGCGCCTCTGGACTTGGAGGATGGTGTGGAGTGGTATTGCGTGGGATAGTCTTGTTGTGCAAATTTAGGAACTTTGGAATGTGTGAAGTGGGTTTCTTGCACACAGATGGTGTCTATTTTGTCTTTTCTGGCCATGTCTAACAGGACACGCCGTTTGTGCGGGGTGTTCAAGCCGCACGCGTTAATAGTGTGTATTCTCAGGTTGTAGTATTTGTTTGTTTATCTGGAGTACTCTTGTAGATCTATTCTCGGAGAGATTAATATACCTTGAACCGGGAAGGGACAACTTGGGTGTGATAGAGAAGAGGTGGGAGGGAGAGGAATATATACATGTTCCCTGTAGCAGGGAAATGGTGCGGTGGACGCGCACCGTGGGGTACGGAAACATTTGTCTCCTGTGGTGTGGCGTGTGGGCTTGGTAGCCTTTGGGTTTGGACAGAACTGGGTTGTTTTTTTTTTTTTAATATGTTGGGGCTTGAGGGAAAGCTTGGGTGTGGTTGCTGCATGAGCGGTTGCTGTACCGTGCATCGCTATGCTACCCCTTCGCAAGTGTATGTGGGGTAGGACGAGCCGTTGAGGCTCTTATCGGCATTTGAAAGGGCATCTGCATCCGTGCCGTATCGTAGGCCTCTCCGCCTCATTCCCATTTCTAAACCCTATCTGAGGGGTCCACGTGTCTCCTTGTCCCCAGGGCTGACTGGTGATTGTGTGCAGTCACGAGGGTCTTTCAACAGTGTCCCCGCAACCCCTCAGTGATGTCGAGGCTGGCAAAGGGGTTTGCACATTTACAGAGAGGGCATAGGACGCATAACGAGACATATAAAGTGGCCAGTGGTATGGGCCACGAGGTACCCCGCGCGTCCCCCCCGTCCCTCCCCCCCTGGGGGAAAGCGCCCGGGCCCACGCCGCCCACCCATCCGGACTCGGCCAATATCACATCGAAATCAGTTAACACATATCTTACTGGGTCCCCTACAACCTTGCACCTCCCCGATCTCCCGGCCATTACTTTCCATGTGGCAACATGAGAGTTCACGGTAGCCCATATGTTCCTTCAGGGGAGGCCCATCTCCTGGCATATGCCCATGATCAGTGTTCAGACAATGATGTGTCCCCCCGTGGGTAAGAAGCTGAGGCTCTCCGGAGATGCCAAAATATGCACAATGTGAGTTCCGCTGGGCCCTTCCAATGTCAGTATGCCTGTGGGAAATAAGTGTGTAGTGCACAATACTTGCGTGTCCCTCATGCAGCTGACAGCATGGATTAATGTTTGTCCGGCACTTTCTGCCACTCTATGCGTAGTCTGCTCGCTGGTGGGGTTTTCGCGGGTTCCAGTTGTGGGTTGATACCCCACGACTTCAGCCGGTTGGCGCCATCTTCAGGGGTCAGGATGGCCTGGAGAGAGCCATTTCTGGTCACCAAGAGCTTCGTGGGATATCCCCACCTGTATCTCACTCCGTTGGTGCGAAGTGCTGCAGTAATGGGAGCGAAATCCTTCCGTCTTCGCAGGGTGATCGCTGAGACATCTGGGAAGATTTGTACCATGGCATAATCATCTGGAGGCTTGGGTTTACTTCTGCTGGCTCGGAGGACATGCTCTGTAATGTGGTAATAATGGGCACGTAACAGAACATCTCTGGGTGAGGAATCCGACAGGTGGCGTGGGCGCGGCACCCGATGAACTCTGTCGAGCAGAAGCATGTCAGACGGGATCTCGGGCATGTAAGCACTTAGCAGGCCTCGCACATATGCTTGTAGATCCGCCGGGAGCACTGTTTCAGGTACCCCCCGCAGCCGCAGGTTGTTTCGCCGAGACCTGTCCTCCATGTCCGCCAGTTTCGTTTCGGTGAGTAGTAGCTTGTCTTCCAGCCTCTCCACGTGTGTAGCGAGATTATTGTGGGCTGCCGCCATTTCGTCCATTTGTGATTCTATGTGCGACGTTCTCTTGCCTATTTCTTGGACATCTTTACGAAGTGAGTCCATGGAATGTTGCCAGGACCCGATCAGATTTCGGGACAAGGCTTCCAGTGCTTGAGTTAGGTGGCTCTTTGTCAGGGCATCTCCTGGTGCAGGTATGCTTTGTGGGGCACTTTCATCGTCGGTACCCTCGTCGCCATCTTGGGTAGACGGTAGTAGGCCCGAGGGAGTTAAATTAGGTTTCTGTTGAAAGAAATTCAATTTTTCAGTTTTTGCTGAGCTCTTCTTGCTTTTGTGTTGCGACATCTTCTGTGGTAAGGTTTGTAATGCGTTCTGTGTGGTAGGATTGCAACGGATTGTCAGCCCGTTTGCCGGAGCTGAGGATTATGCGTCCATCTTGTCCGGCAGTCGGCCACGCCCCCTGGTAATTTTTTTAATAAACTCAAAAAAACAAAAGTACGAGGGGTATACTAAAACGTATAATTTAAAAAAAGCCAATTTCAATAAGATCAGGGCAGCTTTACAACATATCGACTGGCATAAACTCCTTAGTGATAAAAACACTGAGGATAAATGGAAACTATTCAAACACATCTTAGAAAGGTACATTTCACAGTATGTACCATTGGGTAATAAATATAAAAGAAACAAATTAAAACCAATGTGGCTTTAGTAGAGAAGTAAACCAAGAGATTAAAAATAAAAAAAGGGAAATTAAAGCATTTAAAGCGGACAAATCAGAGGCATCCTATATAAGATATAAGGAAGCCAATAATGTGTGCAAAAAGGAAATTAAAGTGGCTAAACTAGAAAATGAGAAATTGATAGCCAAAGAAAGCAAAACCAACCCCAATTTTTTTTCAAGTACATCAATTACACTGGAAACAGAGTTGGGTTTGTTAGCTAATGAAGACCTCTTCAGTATATATTAATGAGGATCCTATGGCAAGAGTTGCTTGCTGCAAAAAACATGCAGATAACTTGTGATTGGATAACTCGAGACAAGGTGCTATAGCTATTATAGAAAATTAATGTAAATAAAGCTCTGGGTCCTGATGGTAGTTGCCCACGAGTGGGTGAAATAAGTGGGGAAATAAGTGGGGAAATAAGTGGGGAAATAAGTGAACCTCTGTATTTAATTTTTCAAGATTCTTTTGTTTCAGGTATTGTACCAGAGGATTTGTGGAAGGCAGATGTTGGTCCTATATTTAAAAAGGGTTCAAAATCCCTGTCTGGAAATAATAGACCTGTGAGCTTAACTTCTGTGACTGGAAAAATATTTGAAGGGCTATTAAGGGATAATATTCAGGAATTCATTGGGAAGAACTTTGTTATTAGCAATAATCAGTATGGTTTTTTGAAATATGTCATGTCAAACTAACCTAATTGCATTCTACGAAGAAGTAGAAGTATAGATCAGGGTGTTGCAGTGGATGTGATCTACTTGGATTTTGCCAAGGCATTTGATACGGTTCCTCACAATAGGTTAGTCTTCAAACTGAAAGAAATTGGTCCAGATAAATATTCTTATTGTTGGGTAGAACGAGTTGTCATTAATGGTAAATTTTCAGGCTGGACAAAAGTGGTAAGTGGTGTCCCTTAGGGTTCTGTTGTGGGACAACTTTTATTTAACATATTTATAAATGATCTTGAAATAGGCATTGAAAGCCATGTATCAATGATTGCAGATGACACAAAACTTTGTAATGTAATAAAATGTCAGCGGGATATTGCTTTGCTGCAGAGGGATTTGGATAGATTAGGCGACTGGGCACTAAAATGGCAGTTGAAATTTAACTTAGAGAAATGCAAAGTTATGCACAACGGGGTTAAGAATGCACAAGCATCGGGACACAGTAGGAGGGAGGCTGAGTACTAGGGGGTTGAGCAGCATTAAAAACGACTAAACCAGTAAAGGGATCGAGCGCACACAATATTTTAAGAGAAAAAAAAAAATGTGTGTATATATATATATATATATATATAAAAATAATAAAATAAAAATAAAGAGATAACTGGGGGAAAAACATAGCTCTATATTAATAGCCTATGCATGTTGACGACAAGCGCAGTCTCAGTCACCAAATTAGTGGGACGCGGCTTTGCATATATGCAAGAACAAGACTACGGTTAGATGGCAGCCCCACACAGCGTGCACCACATTGTCTTGTTTGTAAATATTATCTTTCATATCTTTCTTCTATCCCTTTCCCTACTATCTGTCCATCTTCCCCTATGTCCTTGTACCCTTATGGGGTGGGTGGTGGGGTGGGGGGCCCAGGGCTTGGGGGGGCGGACGTGGTCCTGTATGAGAGCGCTGCACCTATGTCAGGACCATGACACTGCAACTCACTACATCAAATGTGAAGGGCCTAAATGGAAGGGGCGTTTGTTGTTCAGGGAACTAAAACGGATGAGGACAGATGTTGCTTTCATCCAAGAAACACACTTGCCGAAAAAGGCTGGCTTCAAGCTAAGGGACCACACATATAGCATGACACTAACGCACCGTAAACAACGGAGTGGCGATCCTTATACGGGGCAGCTGCCCATTGAAAATAACATCCTCTGATTGCGATCCAGAAGGGCGATGTGACAGATCCATCTGTATAGATTGGGATTGCTTGTTCGTCTGTTTTGCCTCTTTTCATGGAATTACCTGTCCGTATGCCCCCTGTTTGTTTATTTGACTTTCCTGCCGAACAAAACTACCGAACGGACGGCCACCCAGAAGAGAAGTGTGCTGCTGGTTAACTTCTTGATCCCAATTAGAACTTTGTAGTTAACCGCAGACACCTTTCAAATAAAACCGAATACAGGGTGGTCGTCGTTTGTATGTCAACCACAAGGCAGCGGCCATTTTAAAACAGGCGAAAGACCAGCGGTGTTGGGCACAGATTCTATGGGACTTAAAAAGAACACTTTTTCTGCCAAACACCACTAAAGCCACCGACTTCCCTTCTCGATCGACAAAAGCATATGAACACCGGCCGTTCGGGAGTTTGAACCACACGAATAGACTTAACCCAGATAGCCTTCCAATGAAGTCAGTTGCATACCGAAAGACTGTAATAGACTTTGACTCCATGGCGATTGAACTGTGCGTATGGGATCTGAGCGCTATTCGCCAATAATATGCACTCAGATCCAGGCTATCTAGGGATATGTTACATGAATGAGAAATGTTCGGCAATTGTAAAGTTATATATTTTTATGTGTTTTTTGGGTTGTATCTAAAATGGCGATTTTCCTCTGCCCTGGGAGATAATTGAATTACTTCTCAATTATCTCCAGGGCAGAGGGGAGGAAACCATGATGCATGCTGGGAATATTATGTGCCTGTGTGTCCTGAAATCCTGTATGTCCATCTGCCGTTACAGTCTCCCATTTGGTCCCCTATGGGAGTGTCCACCAAGTGGGAGACCTGCATAAATACGGGCGGGTAGCCCACAGTAAACCCAGTTCATGTTTTACCCTCAATGCGGAGCTTGGTCTCGTTATTGGAGGGGAATTTACTACATGAATAGCGACTGCCGGATGGAAGTATTAGCCGCTTGGGAGATATATGGTTTCAGCTATTAGCTGCAATTCGTGAGTTGGCGGATCGTGAAGTGAAGTACCCGTACGGGTCCCATTCGGGAGATTGGAGCATTCCCCTGCTTGCAATTCATATGATTGCAGTTGATACAAATGAAGCTGGCGTTATGGTGAGAGGGGAGGATTCACTAAACGGCGGTTTGTCTATTTGATGCTGAGGGTGCTGTTACAGGAGATATGTGATCCTATCCGGCACACTACTTTCACACACGATACACTTCATTAACGTGTATGCCCCTTTGGTGGACGTCTGGAGGGCACGTCATCCGAGCACCATCAACTATACTTTCTATTTGGCCCCACACATTACCTATTCTAGGATAGATTTATTCTTGGTCAATGAAAGATGCCTGACCCGTGTCCTGGGTTCAGAGATAGGGTCCATCACATGGTCTGACCATACAGACGTTTCCCTTACATTGGGGAACCTCTGCGTAGCGTCCCCCTGGACCTGGAAACTCAATGCCTCCTTATTGAGAGACCAAGAGCTAGTAGAACAGATACGGACCGATATCCTAGACTTTTTTGCCATTAACACCACCCATGACTTGAGACAGGAAACGATATGGGCAGCACACAAGACAGTGATACGGGGCACTTTTATTAAAATCGCGACTGCCAAAAAGAAAAATAAATTCCAACGACTGAACGTACTATTGACTGACCTTAGAAGATTGGAACATCAACACCAGAATAGACCTGATGATGAGACACTATGACACTTAGAAGCAAAATGACATACCATCCGCTCCCTGCTACTAGACGACACTTCCAACGCTATGACCTGGTCCAAATGCACCTTTTATGAAAAAGCTAACAAGATGCACTCAGCAATATGCAAAGACATACCAAGCAAGAAAGACCCATACATCTGTGTGACAGGCGGTCATTTTTGGACATCACTGTAGTTCATGGAAATCAGCGGGTTTGAACACGGGCCAACCATGGGGTTACAGACCACAGAGTGCCTTAGACCGAGTTGACAGACATGGGAAACCCTTGTTATACTGAAAATTAACCCTAAACATAGTACTGGAAAGGGAGTGGCTCATACAACAAGTTGGGAACATTTTATTTGCAAGACATGCTGACATAACCTGACTGGGTAGACATGACAGTAAATCCCCTGAAACCACACATCACGACTCTCAAGGACATGGTGGCTATTGCCAATCCCACATTTGAAGACACTATGGCTGTGGAGACTGGTTTTTCAGATACTAACCTATGGCTTGAATGGATGAGGTATAATGCTAACTCTCATAATAAAACCAACTGTTATGTTTGTGGTGGAGCTAGACTCTACCTAGGTACAGTGCCTCTAAATTTACCTCCAGATGTTGAGACAGAAATGCTGGAGATCAAGGCAGTTGAGGTTTCTGTGAGATTGGAGAGTTGAGGGTGGTGAAATTTGGGTACAGGGTTTGCTAACGTCAAATGTTAGAAGATGGTGGTCAGACAAAGGAAATGCAACAGTGGAGAGATTAGAGGTGGTACAGAGATTGGTGAAGATGAGGTTAAGAGTGTTTCCTGCTGTATGAGTTGCTGAAGTAGACAACTGCGTGAGGCCAAAGGAGGAGGTTACAGAGAGCAGACGGTTGGTATCAGGGCAGTTGAGGTTGTTGATTGGGATTTTAAAGTCTCCAAGTATGAAGGAGGGAGTGCTAGAGGAGAGAAAGTGGGGTAACCATGAAGAAAATTGTTCAATAAATAGCCTAGGATGACAGTGGGGACAATAGATGATGGCAATTCTTAAAGGAGTTAGCTTAAAAAGGCGGACAGTGTGAACTTCAAAGGAAGTAAAGGAAAGGGCAGGGGCAGGGAGGATAGGTTGAAAGGTACATTGAGGGGAGAGAAGGATGCCTACACCACCTCCTTTACAGTCGCGTCTGGGAGTGGGAATCAGCAATATATTCAGCAGTATATAATGAATTCAAAAGACAGTTAAATATATATCTGGCTACATAAACAAACAGTTGCAGCATACAATAATAACAACAGTATAATTACTAAATTATATTATCTTATCCATATATAATAATGAACAATTTTTTTTGGGGGGCGGAAGAAAAAGGAGTTTTGAATGAATCAATATTAAAGAAAGAAAATAAAAGAAAGGATTGGGAAGGAGGGGGAGGAAGGTTTGGGGAGGGGAGTTGTTTTAAAACCTTTATAGTTACATAATGATGTGCAAATATATGTGTATGAGGAAATACATTTCTATTCTTAGGTATTTTACCAATATTAACAGCATGTTGTGCAACCTCCTCAATGTATCTTAAGTAAAGTAACTGATCTCATTAAACAATGATAGAAAAGAAAGAAAAAACAAACGATGAAAAGATAATCATAGTGAAGTACTAATACTTTTAAGCTACTACCTTGGCTGTTTGTTTCCATAGGTCCCAGAGAGTTTTCACTTGTGTGAAGTTGTCTTATAGCTAGCTTGTATCTTTTTCACAAGTAAAGGAAATAATTTCAGTTTTCAATGGTATGTTTGTTGTTTTTAAATAGCTGGGTAATAATGTAGTAGCTGAAATTAGTATGTGTGAAATTAAAAAAATGTCTACTTTGTTTTAGAAACTGGGAAGGCGTTTAAAGAAGCCAATTTTAGGTGAAAGTGTTTGAATAGTGGGTCCCAGAAGGGTCTTAACTTATCACATTGCCACTGTATGCGGTACATGTCGCCCACCTCTCCGCGTTCTCTCCAACATGAATCTGGAACATCTGCAAACATTTTTTTGAGTTTTGGAGGTACCAGGTACCAAGGACATATGACCTTTTAACAATTATATATAATTTGAGCATAACTTAATTCCTTTTAATGTTTCTTTTATTCTATGCCAATCGAATTTCTGATTCCCAAGCAATCATATATTGTAATTTCCTGTTGGGGGAAGAAGACATGTAGAAATTGAGTGTTTTTGTACAGGATTTTTTAAACATGCCAGCTCCAGATTAGATAACGGTAAAGAAATACAAGGTTGGATTAGGGAGGGGATACGAAAGATCTTGCGCAAATAAATAATACCAATCACCTATGCAATTAAGGTTTTATGCTATATTATATGGCTTATTAGTATACTAGGAGTATTTCCTGCTGATGTTCAGATGTAGGTTGGAAAATGAAGAGAGGTACACATGTAATAAGTATATATATATATATATTTTTTTTTTCTCTTTTTGGTAAACAAAAGGCCGCACGATGAGTGGAAGGTACTGATTAGTGCTGGGGCATATTTAATAATAGAACATTGGGGGTTAACACCATGTATTTAGGGTTATTTAACACTGTATAAAATATTGAGCTTTGTCATGTTGGTCTATTTGCAGATCTGAGCATGACTACTTAAATTAACTTGTAATTTATTTACTTACACATTATTTAGCAAGTGGTGGTAAATTTAAATAATTTTAATACATCACGGTTTCCCTGTCACTGTGGAAATGGAATTATAAGTTTCATAGCCTGGAGTTATTAGTAATAGATTTGTCATAATTTGTTTGGGAAGATTTTTTTCAATTATTATATTTTTCACAAAGAAGTATTTTTTTTTTTTAATTAATATAAAGAGAGTTTAAGCCAGCAGTAATATAAAGAGAATTTAAGAGATACACTAATGAGTCACTTTGGTTTCTCTTAGGCCGTACCCTTTAGTGTGGCCTTCACTTTTGGTAAAGGTCGACATATGTCTGGTAATCCAATCTATATGTTGCATAGCTTGATAAGTATAAATGGATAGATAGTATAGAAAGGAAACGGTTAAGGATGATAGAGCTGGATCGTGATATGATTGAAATTTTGTTATGTTGAATGGTTATTTGAAAGACCTAAAAGGATGTACGGATGATATATTTCGGTCATTTATGATTACACATTTTTAATATGGATTGTACATTATGTAGTGGCAACCATAATAGTCCAATATTAGTTGATAGTATGGTAAGTGGAGGATTTAAATCAATAATATAGGCAATCTAGGCAAAGCCATAGGAGCTGGAAATATATATATAGTTGAATCGATGCTATTGTTCTAAGTTAGCGTTTCGCCTTGGCATCAGTAAAGTGATATGCTCACTATATGCTCATCCCTGCAATTTTTGGCAGGTTATTTCTATACATGTACGCATATCTCCTTCATCCAGGAGGCACATTGGATTGATTCCCCAGATAGACTTTGGAAGTTTAAAAAATTTCCATTAATATTTTGCTCAAATATGGAGGGGAAAGGGAAAAAAAGAAGTATTACTATTATTATCTCTAATAAAGTTAATTTTGAACTTATTCACTTATCTAAAGATACGACTAGTGATGAGCAAACCCGTACCGTACTGTACCGTAATGTTCGTACCGAACATTTAAATTTTTGGACCCCGAGCCTGGACATTTCAGTGACAGTTCGGGTTCGAGTTCAGTGTTTGGTGATTTAATGGCGCGTTTTGAAAAGCTGCAGGGCAGCCAATCAACAAGCGTTTGACTCGTGTGCCCTTAGAAGCCATCACAGCCATGTCTACTAATGGCATGGCTGTGATTGGCCAGTGCAGCATGTGACCCAGCCTCTAAATAAGCTGGAGTCACATGAGCTCTTATTAGTGTAGGGAGAGGATGCTGCAGCTGTGAGGGACAGATTAGGAAAGAATTCTGGTGTTGAATCTGCAAACTACAGCAATTATTTTTGTGGGTGCTATACTACATTTTTATACCCTGCCCAGTGCCACAGAGAAATAAGCAATCAGTCTGTTTGTTAGGTGGGCACTTGCAACTGCATGTGTGCCAGACACATTACTTTAATCCTGTTCTGGTAGCTCAGTGGGCAACAGCTAGGCATTTTTAAATACTGCTGTGACATTGCAGTTTGACAAATTCAAATTCTTTTGGTGCTAAAAAGTTAATTTGTGGCATGCACTTCATATCTGAGAGTCAAATAGAACCATCAAATACTGTGGTTACATTGCAATTTGAAAAATTCTAATTTTTTTGGTGCTAAATAGTACATTTGCTGCCTGCGGTGCACTTCATATCTGAGAGTCAAATAGAACCCTCAAATACTGTGGTTATATCACACTTTGAAAAATTCAAATTTTTTGGTGGTAAATAGTACATTTGCGGCCTGCAGTGCATTTCTTGCAGTCCAATAAAACCCTTAAATACTACTGTCACATTGTTGGTTTAAAAAATTACACTTTTTTGTGCTAAATTTAACATTTGCGGCCTGCGGTGCATATCTTGCAGTCCAATAAAACCCTTAAATACTACTGTTACATTGTTGGTTTAAAAATTCACACTTTTTTTGTGCTAAATAGAACATTTGTGGCCTGTGGTACTGTTCTTGCAGTCCAATAAAAATAAAAATAAAAATAATCACTGGAGAGAAAGAGTACCCTCCTACCCACCCGCGATCCCTGGCCCTCAATGCCAGCATTTCAAAATTCCTGGCCTTTGAAATGCTTTTGTTCCGTCTGGTGGAAATGGACAGTTTTAAAAACCTGATGGCAGCGGCTGTCTCACAGTACGTGGTTCCCAGCCGCCACTACTTTTTCAGGCGAGCCATCCCTTCCCTGCACAACCAATTGGCAGAAAAAATCAGGTGTGCACTGCGCAACGCCACCTGTGGCAAGGTCCACATAACCACTGATACGTGGACCAGTAAGCAGGGCATTTATCTTTGCCTCCTGTTGCCTCCTACTCCGCTTCCTCCTCCTCTACCACCTCCTCATCCGGTAAGCGTAACACCTTCACCACCAACTTCAGCACAGCCAGGGAGAAACAACAGCAGGGAGTTTTAAAACTCATATGTTTGGGGGAAAAACCCCACACCATGCAGGAGCTGTGGATGGGCATGGAACAACAGACCGATGAGTGGTTGTTGCCACTGAGCCTCAAGCCCGGCCTGGTGGTGTGCGATAATGGGTGAAATCTCGTAGCAGCTCTGGGCCTTGTCGGTTTGCCGCACATCCCTTGCCTGGCACATTTGCTGAATTTGGTGTTGCTCATATTCCTGAAAAACTTCCCAGATATATCAGAGCTGTTGCAGAAAGTGCGGGCCGTCTGTGCGCACTTTCGGTGTTCTCACCCTGCTGCTGCTTGCCTGCAGCGTAACTCCACCTTGCAAATGCTGGAGAGACTGTGCGGGCAGCTGCAGGCGATAGTGGAGTTTCAGCTGCAGCATGCACGGGTCAGTCACTATGCAACAGACTTGCCCTCCAATAGATCCTCGTTAAAGGATTTAATGTGTACTCATTCCAATTACAGGGCCTCGAAAGAGTCCCGTATAGTTATTTATCGTCACTACCTCCCCGCATCAAGAGTGGGTAATTTGCGCGCCTGCTGCCTTCCTTGGATGTGGTAGCCGTTTCTCAGGCTCCCACTCCGGAATCGAACCCTGATTCCCCGTTACCCGTGGTCACCATGGTAGGCGCAGAAAGTACCATCGAAAGTTGATAGGGCAGACATCCGAATGCGTCGTCGCCGTCACGGGGACGTGCGATCGGCCCAAGGTTATCTAGAGTCACCAAAGTGCCTGCGCAATGACTGCCGAGTTGCCCACATTCTAACTTGTTCTTATTACTGGGTGGCCCGTTACAAGGACAACATGCCGTCCTTAATTCCCTCACTGGAGCGTGATCGGAAGATGCGTGACTACAAGCGCACGCTGGTAGACACGCTGCTGAGGGCATTCCCAACTGATACCGGGGGCTCAGTGGAAGCACAAGGCGAAGGCAGAGGAGGAGGAAGAGGTCGCCAATGAAGCTTGGGCACCGCCAGAACCTCAGAAGGCAGGGTTAGCATGGCCAAAATGTAGAAAAGCTTTGTCAGCACGCCACAACAACCAGCACCACCAGCTGATATGGAATGTCTTAGCAGGAGGCAGCATTTCAGCAACATGGTGGAACAGTACATGTGCACATGCCTTCATGTACTGACAAACGGTCTACCTCATTCAACTTCTGGGTCTCCAAATTGGGCACATGGCCTGAGCTTGCCCTTTTTTGCCTTGGAGTATATTGTCTGAACGAGTGTTTAGCACAGCAGGGGGCATTATCACAGACAAGCGCAGCCGCCTGTCCACAGCCAATGTGTACAAGCTCATGTTTATTAAAATGAACCAGGAATGGATTCCACCAGACTTGTCTGTACCTTGTGCAGAATAGACATTTTATAACGGCCTCACTCAGCCATTGTTATACTCAAGTGCACTTATTCCTTGTTTTCTTTTTTTATATGTCCCAATATTTTGGGGGCTACCCCAATTGTTTGCAGGGCACTTGTCCTACTTCCTTTTGCAGCCCTCTAGCCCTTTCCAGAACTTTTTTAGAGCCATTTTAGTGCCCAAAAGTTCGGGCCCCATTGACTTCAATGGAGTTCGGGTTCGGGGTCAAGTTCGGGTCAAGTTTGAGGCTGAAATCGAACTTTATGCCGAAGTTCAGCCGAACCCAGTGAACCCGAACTTCCAGGTATCCGAGCATCTCTAGATACGACCATACGATATTTGATTCTTATTTCAAAAATTAACGGAGCTTGGTGTGTTTCCTGGATGAGATCCTGGAAAGGGTGGATGAATTGGCATGTGGCAATGTATTAATTGGCGGAGATTTTAATTTTGTTGTAGATCCAAGAATGGATAAAAGTCATAAAAATACTAGAGAACTGAAGCCCCAAAAATCCAACTTGTCTGACTTCTCAGAACTTCTAAATAGGAACTCTTTATATGATTGTTCGAGGACTTTGAACCCCACTGAGAAAGATTACACCTTTTTCTCACATGTCCATCAGACCTACTCCCATATAGATATGTTTTTGGTGAAGGCAGGACTTTTATGATCAATTATTAAATCGAATATTGGATCTATAGTTTTATCGGACCATGCCCCAGTGTTTATTAACGTTAAGCTAAAAGAGTTTTAGGCCAAGGACAAGATGACAACTTAATGAAACCCTTTTAAAATCTGATCATAATATTGATATTTTGTCATCTGAAATAGACAACTTTATGACTATTAATGATAATGGGGAAGTTTCCACTGCAACACTATGGTGTACACTGAAAAGTTATGAAAGGGGACTGTTAATAAAGCTAGGCTCAGAACTAAAACAGAAGGGAGAATCTCTACAGGCGTTGAGGATTAAATTAGGAAATAAAGAACGGTTAAATGAAATTAGGGTAAATAATGAACTAACAGAAGAAATAGCCACTCTAAGGGAGACTATTAAAGAAAGAATATAAGATATGGTTAACAAAAATATAGCTTTCCTTAAGCAAAGGTGGTATCATAACAACAATAAAATAATTAAAGCTCTTTCAAATAAAATTAAGAACTATCTTAACGATAAGTCCATAAAAAAATCGTTATAGGTGATAAACAGTTAACTTCTCCAAATGACATTGCTGAAGCATTTGTATATTTTTACAGATCCCTATATAATTTAAAGGACATAGCGAAAAGTAATAAGGAAATAGAACAATTTCTAATTAACCTTAAACTGCCAAATATAAACCAAAAGAAATTAGATATATTGAACGCTCCAGTTTTGTTGCCTGAAGTCATAGAGGCAATAGATAACCTTAAATCAAATAAAGAGCCTGGCCCTACCGGCTTTTCTGCCATCTTTTCTAAAACATTTTCTAGATTTATTGCTCCTGTACTTTTGAAAATGTATACGGAAGTGTCGGTAGATAATCCATTTCCTAATGAGATGCTGTTGGCATCAATTATTCCTATATAAAATGGTGAAAGAGAGCGCACAAAAGAGATATACAATAATACTTATGAGAGAATGGTACTAAGTACCTCTAGATAATAGCTGCTAAACAAAAAATGAACTTCCCAAATTCAATAAATAAATTGTAAGATATTGTGTTGTCAGCGCTTAGTGAATAATCCCCTTAGATATACTCAGGGGTAAATGTCTTAACAAATGTATCTATAATAATTAGAAACAGCAATAGCATACAGTGTTATGAGTATCAATATAACTGATAGTAACAATCAGATTGTAACAAAAAATCAAAATTGTATCTCAGTCCAGTATAAAATATATAGCAGGGTCCAAAGTGACAGGAGGTCCACAGTGTTGTTTGGGAACACAATCTTTGACTTTGAATCCCTTAAAAAAGACAGGAAATATATATAGTGCAATACTGTATTTAATGTCTTAAAACAGCAATGGAATCCCCCTCACCAACATAGGAACCCTTACAGAAGAAAAATGTGGTGCTTATCTCTAAGGAGTTTTGATAAGCACTCACTTTCAAATCGCTTTAAGACCCATCACAATAGTGACCCAACACTCCTTAAATATATTGGTATTGAAAAAGTAGAAATACCTTGGAGGGGAGGTGAACTAAACAAAATCTTTACCTACAGAGAAATGTATTGGATCTATAATTTGAAAACTTTAGCCACTTCAGGCTTAAATGCTGAGCTGGAATTAGCAAATATATTATAAATACACTTAATATCTATAAAGAAAGTTGGACAATATATATATATATTTCACCATTATTAGAATTTATTAGCATATAGTGTACAACAACATTCAAAATATGAACGTAAAATACACATCTGTTTACATATATTTTTTGTGTGCATTTTAGAATGAGATGGGTATTGAGTATTATATTTTTTATAATTTTTAATATTATTTTAGAATAAACAGAGAAGCCTCAGGATATATATATAGTATATCTATGTAAATATAGATGTATACAGCAAGTATTGGTTTGTTTTAACATGTATAAATAAGTCTGTTTTATTGTGTATAAATTGTTCTAGTATGCACAAATAGTTTTTATGTATTGCTGCATTCAGGAGGATGTATAATCCACAATCTATCATTATGAGGACCTTTTTCCTGTTATAAGATTTGTTGTGTATAAAAATGCATGTATCTTTAAAAATTCAAATGTGCTTTTCCCGGCAAAGGTATTTAAGTGCCGATTAGCACACATAACACCTATCTTGAAAAAGCCCACCAAGAGGGGCGAAACACGTTGATTAGGTGCTCCATCATCCTGTATGTTATCTTGTTTTGCTGCTAACACTCTGCATGACAAGTTTTTATGCCAACCGGAGGCAGAATTACAAAGAGGTGAACTTTCACTGAATCTACAGCCTGCCTCAGTGCACGAGGCAAATGCTCCTTTCAGCAGCATACCGGACGGCATCCTTAGAGATAAGCACCACATTTTTCTTCTGTAAGGGTTCCTATGTTGGGGAAGGGGGTTCCATTGCTGTTTTAAGACATTTTACCTCTTCCTCCTCCTTCTCCATATCGCCGCTGCAGATCTGGCTTTTATAACAAACTTACATTCGCCCACATCAACTATGGCGCTGATGTGCGTGCGGCGTCACGTCATAGACGCTGTTATGGCTCCCCCGGTAGGAGAGGGGTTACAGCGGTATGAGACGTTCCGTTACCGAACGTAGAGGCAGCCACTGAGCGCTCCAAAGTACCGAACAGTAGCCGTACGGATGAGTTAGTTCCCATTTGTATAATGAAAGACTATGGGAAAGACTTTGGCGCCATTCAGCAATAATGTGCGCTGAGATCTGAGCTATCTGGGGATATGTTGAATGTACCTGTTTTATGCAATAGCTGAACAGTTATATATTTTTATGTATTTTATTGTCTTTTGCTGCCATGCCTTCAATGGAGTTTTGCCTCTGTCCTTGGAGATAATTGAATTACTTCCCAATTATCTCCAGGATAGATTTGCTAGTTAAATTTACCTCTTTCTCCAGCGCCAGGGCGCCGCTCTCCATATCGCCGCTGCAGATCTGGCTTTTATAAGAAACTTACATTCGCCCACATCAAATATGGCGCTGATGTGCGTGCGGCGTCACGTCATTGATGCTGTTATGCTCCCCCGGTAGAAGAGGGGTTACAGCCGTATGAGACGTTCCGTTACCGAACGTAGAGGCAGCCACTGAGCGATCCAAAGTACAGAACAGTAGCCGTACGGATGAGTTAGTTCCCCAATATTCTCCCAAACAGCCGAACAGCAACCATGTGAATCAAATATTCTCCCAAACAGCCGAACACGCATACTCCATATGAATAATCCCCCCAATGACAAGACAAAGCTCCATATTGAGGGTCAGCAGGAATCTGTTTAATGAGGGCTACATGCCCGGCTTTTATTCAAGTCCCCCATCTGGTGGACACTCCCCTAGGGACCAAATGGGGAACTGTGACAAGGACATTGAAGTAACCAATCACAGGATTGCCATTCCCCTTTTCTTACCCAGAACCCTTTGCTCTGTTCAGGGAGATAATTGTGAAGTAATTCAATTATCTCCCAGGACAGAGCCTCAACGCCATTTTAGGTGACAATAACAAAAAGATATAAAAATACAACTGTGACATTTTACATTCTACAGGCATTCAACAGGTCCCCAAATAGCTAGTATCTGAGCGCACCGAAGTACCGAATAGCGCTCAGATCCTATGCACCCAGTCCAATCGCCGTGGAGACAAAGGGTTCACAGAGTCAGTTTGCATAAAAATGAGCTCCACGGGATTCCTATCTGGGGTATGGTGTATTCAGTTGAAAATTACCGAATATAGGGCTGTTCGTGCCCTTCTACCGAACATGAAGGGAGGTCGGCGGCTTCAGCGGTGTTCGTGCTAAAATGTATCCGTTTTCAGTTCCATGAGTTGGGCGTCGAACACCGCTGTGCGTTCGCATGTTTTAAAATGGCCGCGACCTCGTGTTCGGCATACGAATTGCGGCCACCCAACTACTGTATCAATTAAGAGGTGTCTGCGGTTAACCTCAGCGTTCAGATGAGGTTAACCAGCAGCACACTTCTCTACTGGGTGGCTGGCTGTTCGGTAGTTTTATTCTGTCATAGAAGGGAATGGCATAGAGTCCACAGGAACGGGGAAACACGAATCAAACAAACGAATGAGCAATACTGTTAGTTCAGTTCAAGACAGAGGGATCTGTCACAGACGTGCACGCATGTTTTAGGGTCAGAGGTCAGAGACAGCCAATTACAGCCTAAGGAGGGTTATTTAAATCCAAATTACCTTTTTTATCAGTGCCCTGGCATGATTTCCACTAGCTGGTTATTGGAGAGTGTGTTCCTGATTGCATTTTTTGGTATTTGACTTTGGCTGCGTTTTGACTTTCCTGATTTCTAGTATCCTTGACTTCTGCTTTCCTCATCGTTGTGTCTCATTTTGTGTCCCTGACCTCGGCAAGTATTTTGACTATTCTGCGGTATGTTAACTCCGGCCATTCTATAGTCTTTATCCTTAGACCTAGTTTAGACATATCTAAAATCACAAGAATTTCAAGATCAGAAACAAAATGGGTCTACTTCAAGGAGGTCATGCTTTACCCAATCAATAAAATCAATAATCGTATTGATTTTATTGATTGGCTAAATAAAATAATAGAGCAGGGTGGGGTAGTATACATTGCTTACCTAGATTTCAATAAGGCTTTTGACACTGTCGCACATTGAAGACTCATCAATAACTGCAATCTTTAAGTTTGGATTCCAAAATTGTTAAATGGGTTAGGCAGTGGCTAAGTGACAGGCAACAGAGGGTTGTAGACAATGAAGTAAATTCAAAGCAAGGTTTTATTACCAGTTGTAAGAATCTGTACTTGGACCCATTCTCTTTAATATTTTTATTAGTGATAATTGCAGAAGGTCTTGATGGTAAGGTATGTCCTTTTGCTGATGATACAAAAATATGTAAGAGGGTTGATGTTCCAGGAGAGATAAGCCAAATGGCAAATGATTTAGGTGAACTAGAAAAATGGACAGATCTGTGGCAACTGACATTTGATGTGGATAAGTGCAAGATAATGCATCTGGGATGTAAAAAACCCAAGGGCAGAGTATAGAATATTTGATAGTTTGAGTCCTAACCTCAACATCTGAGGAAAGGGATATAGGGGTAATAATTTCAGATGACTTAAAAGTAGACAGACAGTGTAATAGGGTAGCAGGAAATGCTAGCAGAATGATTGGTTGCATAGGGAGAGGTATTTGCAGTAGAAAAAGGGAAGTGCTCATGCCATTGTACAGAACACTGGTGAGACCTCACTTGGAGTACTGAAGACCATATCTCCAGAAGGAGATTGATACTTTGGAGAAAGTTCAGGGAATGGCTACTAAACTGGTTCATGGATTACAGGATAAAACTTACAAGGAAAGTTTAAGTGATCTTAACATGTATAGCTTGGAGGAAAGATGAGACGGGGGTATGATAGAAACATTTAAATACATGAAGTGAATCAACACAGTAAAGGAGGAGACTATATTTAAAAGAAGACAAAACTACCACAACAAGCGGACAGTCTTAAATTAGAGGGGCAAAGGTTTAAAAAATAATACCAGGAATTATTACTTTACTGAGAGGGTAGTGGATGCACGGAATAGTCTTCCAGCTAAGGTCCTAAAGGTTAACACAGTGAGGAAGTTTAAGCATGCATGGGATAAGGACTTAAGATAAGGCCAGGGACTAATGAAAGTATTTAGAAAATTGAGCAGACTAGATGGGTCGAATGGTTCTTAGTTGCCGTCACATTCTATGTTTCTATGTTACTAGGTAATGCCTTTGGGAGCTGTCAAAATTACCAAACTATTCCTCCAAACTGTATTGTGTACCTAACTCACTCTCCCATGACAACATGTGGCTTACTTTAGAAGAGGGTTTTATGTTGTGCATTGAGTAGCATATGGATAATATCCCTTTTCTAATTTTGAAATTTCCAGAATTTTATAGTTTTTATCCAGTTCCCTAACATTACATTTTTCTTTCAGTTTTTCGCTAATTTCCATGTAATCCGTTCTTGAGTCATCAGGTAGACTGTATTTAAATTGTCGTTTTTCGAATGAAAGAATTACATTTCCCTGAAAGAAATCATCCAAATCAACAAACTTTTGTTGTTGAATAACTATGCCAAAAATTTATATTTATAGAAGGTAAATGATCAATTAACAGTGATAGTGGCATTGTGAAAAATATTCAAGGCCTTAAGTGTAGTAGGTAAATACATGGTGATTTCGGGCCTCTTTTCCAGATTAAGCCGTAGCACATCTTTTAGAGAGAATGGCAAAACTTTAGTTTCCTCCATCTCCAACCATCTGGGTTTGTTGTTATGTATGTTAAAGCCAAATGTTGTAGCAGCATTAGTGGCGAAGTAGTATTTGTGGATGACTGGTACGCCATTTGTGGTGTTGATCAGATCTGAACTGATAATAGTTTGAGTTGTGGCTAAAATGCATTCAGCAGGTATTATGGGTGTCTTCTGAGATTCAGTAAAGGATTGAGGTTCAAACTGATGGGATAGAGCATCAGCTTTAGCGTTTTTCGACCCAGGTTGGTATGTCACCCTGTAATTAAAACGCAATAAAAATAGAAACCATCGAGCCCGTCTATCCGTCATTCTCAGTTTTTGTGGTCAGTAAGAATAGTAACCGGTATAGTAGACCCCCTCTATTACGTCACCATTCCTTTAGAGCATAAATGATAGCCAATAACTCTCTATCGAAAAACTAAAAAACAAACAAGCAATAAGAGGCGCTAAAAGTGCATAATATTGATGTAAATGCAAAGATAATAAAGGTAGAGCAGCACCTAAAAGTGTACAAGCTCATAAAACGTACCTTTAAATATTAAAAGTGCAAATAGTGCATTAAATAGAGCACAAACAAGAAGTGTGTACACAATATAACCACACTCAGTGTAACGTATGTGCAGAATTATAAGTGAAATAGTGAAAAAACAATATCCGAATACTAACGTACAGAGAAAATGTATATCTCCTTTGATGCTCCAAATCAAATGAGAACATATGTAAAGAAAGATATAAAATGGAGAAACATAGTATAATATTGTTTAAAAATGAGTATTAAAACCAACAATATTAAGATTGGAATATCACTCACAAAGAGAGAGAGCAGTAAAAGCCTGCTCTAACTGATCCAGCTTATATTCCACAGACCAGGACTTCAATGATTGTACAAGTTAGCAGGATGCCAGCTCACAGTGTAAACAGCCTTTATTTAAAGTTAAAATTCACGATCCCCGTTTCCAATTAGAAGTCTGATAACCATTTATCAGCGCTATATAGAAAATATCTACCAGTCCTTGGCAATTTTTGGCACTGCAGGTTTCACTTCCTGGAACTCGGAGTTCCATCTGATCACGTGATGATCTAGTTCATAACTGTCCATACATCTTATTCTAAACAATAATAATAGAACAAATATATCCATACATCTTATTCTAAATAATAATAATAGAACAAATGTATATATTCTAAGCAATAATAATAGAACAAATATATATATAACTCTCTATTGCATATGTCATACCTCCTTTCGGTTTCGGTCAATTTCTTAGAATAAAAACCACAAGGATATAGAGGTAAGTCATCAAATGGTCTCTGAGATAGAAATGCCCCTACACCTGTCTCAGATGCATCAAACTCTAACAGAAAAGGGCGAGATGGGTCAGGATGAGCCAATGTAGTTGCTGAGGTGAAAGCCTTCTGTGACGAAGTGCCCTTCGCCACTTGGTCCTGGATAGGCCTGCTTGCCAGCCTCCTGCCTTGTGATTATGGCCCTGGGGTGTATGACCCTTTAAACAAGCTGCTTTGTCCCTCCTCAACCTCTCATCAGCCCGTGCTAAACATTAACCACATAGCGATTTTATTCTGTTCGTGGGATCTGAGCGCTGTTCGGATATATTGAGCGCTCAGATCCAAGCAATCTGGGAAAAGGTTGAATGTGGGGGTTCTGTTCAATGTAATGGGCATTATGGATTTTTTTGTAATTTTGTTGCTGTTGTGAATGGAGATATTTACTTTTAAAGTTATGAATATTGTGTAAAACTGTATATTTTCCTGCCTGTGATAATTACATTAGCCCATTTTGTACAGTAACTATATCACAGCCAGAGGGGAGGATTTTGCTGTATTATTTTAAATAAAAAAAATAATAATAATACAGCAAAATCCTCCCCTCTGCCTTTGATATAATTACTGTGATATAATTACTTTAAAAGTACACATTCACATAAGACTTACAGAAAATATCTCCAATATATCCAAACAGCACTCAGATCCCACGAACAGAATAAAATCGCCATGGGGTTAAAGTTTAGCATGGGCTGATGAGAGGTTGAGGAGGGACAAAGCAGCCAGTTTCATTTAATGGGCCATGCACCCTAGGGCCATAATCACAGGGCAGGACTCTCCAGGACCAAGTGGTGAACAGCACTTTGTCACACCTTCTTTATCAAAAGCAGCCGTGGCCTCTGCAATCAGTTTCCCACAGAAATCACAAATTTGCAGTGATGTTACTACCGCAAAGGATTCTGGGTGGGCATATGCAAATTAGTTCAACTAAAAAAAATCACTTTTTTACCTCATTCCATTTTAAACATGGATTCCTTTGAGTCTGTGTTTGCTGTATACAACAGCTTTGAAACACAACTAATGAAAAGATGCAAAGCTGTTACATTGTTAATGCAAATCAGCATTTTTCCCCATCATAACTGTGTTGGTTGTTGCTTCTCAACTACCTCCAAGCTTCAAAGCTAGCTAGTAGCCAACCTCATGCTGATGATTTGCATTAACAATGAAACCGCTGTTCATGAGTGATTCACTGGCTTTGCATATTTTCCCAAGTTGTGTTTCAAAGCTGTTGTATACATGTTTAAAATGGAATGAGGCAAAAATGTGATTCTTTCTTGAATTCATTTGTATATGCCCTCCCATAATCCATTGCAGTAGTAACATCACTGAAAATTTGTGATTTCTGTGGGAAACGCAAGTCTTATGGCTTGAGTGGTGTGCAGATTTTTGTTTAATATTGTATTAACTATCCACAGACTTCAGGTGGAAGAAGTTTTCAATCACAATTTTTTCCCCATTATATGTGGCAAATGTAAACCGAAATTAGAGATAAGACACATAGAACTTCACCCCCCCCCTGCCAAACACCATATATAGCTTCAACCCCCTTCCAAACACTTTGGTTTCCATGTGTCTTATCTCTAATTTCGGTTTACATTAGCCACATTACAATCAGTTTGGTCATGCAGTGAATGGAGTAAGAAAGGAGAGAAATGTGCCTGTGTGTTTTTACACTTTTTGTTACAAAATGGAGTCACATCTGCTAAGTATACATTTAATTTAAATTCCACAATACCTATGACAAAACGTAATATGACAAAAACCCAGGTAATGGGAATAAACATAGAGATGTCAATCTTAAATGCTTTGCAAGCATCTTTTAAATGGACAGGTGATCTAATAACCTTTGTTGTCTAGGCCTTAAAATCACAAAAAAAATCTAGGCCACCTATTTTCATCAAACTATCAGAAGTTACTGAGTTAGATGCAATCCACTCTGAAAGCAGGGTGGCCACCCATTAATCAGTACAAGTTAGAATGTGGGCAACTCGGCAGTCTTTGCGCAGGCACTGCAGCATGTAGTCGCTCATGTGTGCCAGGCTGCCCAGAGGCAAAGACAAGCTGTCCTCTGTGGGAGGTGTATCGTCTGTGTCCTCCTTATGCCCCCAGCCACGCTCCAGTGATGCCCACCAGCTGCATTTGGTGCCACCCTGCTGTGAACACGGATCCTCCTCCTCCTCATCCTCATCATCCTCCTCATCCTCCAGAACTGTGCCCTGGCTGGACAATTGTGTACCTGGCCTATGCTGGTGCAGGAATCCACCCTCCAAGCCAAGCCACTTGTGAATGACTGGCCTGATAACCGTGGAAATGACCCCTCGTCCTCCTCCTCTTCCTCCTGTGCCACATCCTCTTCCATCATTGCCCGCAGCGTTTTTTCAAGGAGACATAGAAGCGGATAGTAAGGCTGAGAACGGCGTCATCGGCACTGGCCATGTTGGTGGAGTACTCGAAACGGTGCAAAATGGCACACAGGTCTCTCATGGAGGCCCACTCATTGGTGGTGAAGTGGTGCTGTTCCGCAGAGCGACTGACCCGTGCATGCTGCATCTGAAACTCCACTATCGCCTGCTGCTGCTCGCTCAGTCTCTCCAGCATGTGCAAGGTGGAGTTCCACCTTGTGGGCATGTCGCATATGAGGCGGTGAGCGGGAAGGCCAAAGTTACGCTGCAGCACAGACAGGCGAGCAGCAGCAGGGTGAGATAGTCGTAAGCGCGCCCACTTTCTGCAGCAGCTCTGATATATCTGGGTAGTTTTTCAGGAATTTCTGCACCACCAAATTCAGCACATGCGCCAGGCAAGGGATGTGCGGCAAACTGGCTAGGCCCAGTTGCTATGAGATTTCATCCATTATCGCACATCACTAGGCCAGGCTTAAGGCTCAGTGGCAACAACCACTTATCAGTCTGTTGTTCCATGCCCATCCACAGCTCCTGCGCGGTGTGGGGTTTTCCCCCCAAACATATGAGTTTTAAAACAGCCTGCTGTCGTTTCCCCCGGCTGTGCTGAAGTTGGTGGTGAAGGTGTTATGCTGCTTGGATGAGGTGGTGGTAGTGGAGGAGGAAGCGGAGTAGGAGGGGGAGGCAACAGGAGGCAAAGAGAAATGCCCTGCAATCCTTGGTGGCGGAAGGACATGCGCCAAACTGCTATCCGCTTCAGGCCCAGCCACCACTACATTTGCCCAGTGTGCAGTTAGGGAGATATAGCATCCCTGCTAGTGCTTGCTGGTTCACGTATCTGTGGTTATGTGGACCTTGCCACTGATGAAGTTGCACAGTGCACACCTAATTTTGTCTGCCAATTGGTTGTGCAGGGAAGGGATGGCTCGCCTGGAAAAGTTGTGGCGGCTGGGAACCACGTACTGTGTGACAGCCACCGCCATCAGGTTTTTAAAACTGTCCGTCTCCACCAGACGGAATTTCAAAGGCCATGAATTTTGAAATGCTGGCATTCAGGGCCAGGGATCACGGGTGGCTAGGGGCTACTTCCTCTTTCTCTCCAGTGTTTGGGAGATCGACAGCTGAACGCTTCCATGGGACAGTGTGAAGATGCTTGGGGACGGTGGCGGACGTGGTGGCGTTGCTGCCACATCCTCTGTTTGCGGGGTGGCAGGTGCCACTGTCACTCCAGAGGTGGAAGAACGGGCAGAGACAGCAGCAGAAGAGGAAGCAGGAGGAGCCTGAGACCTTTCTTGGTTTTTGAGTTGCTTACTCCACTGCAGCTCGTGCTTTGCATGTAGATGCCTGATCATGCAGGCTGTGCTCAGGTTTAGCACGTTTATGCCTTGCTTCAGGCTCTGATTGCACAATGTCTTGTCGTTAGCACATTATCTTAAGAACTGCCACACCAGGAGCTTGCTTTGGTGTGCTCAGTCTAAGGGGCGGCTGCTACGCTTTTGCACCCTACTCCCTCCTATGCTGTGCTGGTGCCTCTGTGCGACCACCGCCTCTTCCTCCAAACTGCACATGTCACTTGCATGACCTTCATTCCATGTGGGGTCATCATCCTCCATGTGCCGGTCTGCACAATGCAGGAAGCCACAGCAGTTGGCACCTGTGTTTCGTTGTCATCAGAAACGTGCTGCGGTGGTCCTTGCATGTCCACATACTGGCACATAAGTGGTTGTGCATTAGTCCAGGGGCAGGGCTTGGTGGATGGCCCACAGAAACCTTGCCAACATAGTCATCAAAAAGTATAAGAGACTGCTGCATGACTTGTGGGTCAGACTGCTTGGCTGATTTGCATGGGGGTGAGGTGAAAAACAGATGGCCATGGGCTGCAGGTGCCAACTCTGAGCTTTCAGCAGGGTACCGGGTGAGAGAGAATGTGCAGGAACTGGAGGCACTGTCCAATCTACTATCGCCTGTGCTTGTTCTGGCCTCACCATTCGAAGAGCAGCATTCGGGCCTACCATATAACACTGAAGGTTCTGTCGCGTACTCGCACCTGAGGAAGGTGTTTCACTTGTGCGTGTAGCTGGCACATATCAACCACGTCCTCTCCTTGCAAGAGGAGCTCCACCAACACGAGCAGCACCATGACTAGGGCCACGTCCCTTATTTGACGCTCACCTCATTCTTTGCGTTCACCCACCAAACTAACAGATGGTTTATATCAGGCGACAATGTAACCGCCAAAAGTCAACAATTTATTTTAGTTATTTTTTTTGTTTATTGGACTGCAAGAAATGTACTGCAGGCCCCAAATGTACTATTTAGTAGCCAAACAATTTGAATGTTTAAAAATGCTATGTCACAGCACTATTTGACGATTCTATTTGACTCCCAGATATGAAGTGCAGGCACCAAATTTACTATTTAGCAGATTAGCACCCAGAAAATAAGAATGTTTACAATTGTGCTGTGCACGCACTATTTGACGCTTCTATTTGACTCTCAGATATGAAGAGCACGCCCCAATTTACTATTTAGCAAATAAGCATCCAGAAAATAAGAATGTTTACAATTGCGTTGTAACCGCAGTATTTGATGTTTCTATTTGACTCTCAGATATGAAGAGCACGCCCCAAATTTACTATTTAGCAGTTTAACACCAAAGCTATTAGAATTTTTACAAGTGCGCTATAACCGCAGTATTTGACGCTTCTATTTGACTCTCAGATATGAAGAGCACACCCCAAATTTACTAATTAGCAGTTCAGAACCAAAACAATTAGAATTTTTACAAGTGCGCTGTAACCGCATTATTTGACACTTCTATTTGACTCTCAGATATGAAGTGCAGGGCCCAAATTTACTATTTAGCACATTAGCACCCAGAAAATAAGAATGTTTACAATTGCGCTGAAACCACACTATTTGACGCTTCTATTTGACTCTCAGATATGAAGAGCACACCCCAAATTTACTATTTAGCAGTTTAGCACCAAAACAATTAGAATTTTTACAAGTGCACTGTAACCACAGTATTTGACGCTTCTATTTGACTCTCAGATAAGAAGTGCATCCCACTGATGTTCTTTTTAGCACCCAAAATATTTTACATTTTAAAACTGCAATGTGACAGCAGTATTTGATGCTTCTGTTTGACTCTCAGATATGAAGTGCACCCCACTAATGTATTCTTTCCTAATCTGTCCCTGAAGCGGCAGCATCCTCTCCCTACACTAATAAGAGCTCATGTGCGTGCAACGCAACGTGACTCCAGCTTATATATAGAGCCTGGGTCACATGCTGCACTGGCCAATCACAGCCATGCCATTAGTAGGCTTCTAAGGGCACACAAGTCAAACGCTTGTTGATTGGCTGCCCTGCAGCCTTTCAAAACGCGCCATTAAATTGCCAAACACCAAACTCCAACCTGAACATACAGTGAAATGTCCCTGTTCGGGTCCGGGGTACAAAAAACGTAATGATCGGTACGAACCGGAACTTTACAGTCCGGGTTCGCTCAACTCTATTCATGAGTGAAAATAAGGTCTAGAGTATTGCCTGCTACATGCGTGGGGGAATTAGCCCACTGTGATAGCCCAAGGGAGGAGGTAATAGAAAGTAGTTTTGAGGCTGCTAGGGTCAAGGGTGGGTTAATAAGAATGTTGAAGTCTCCGAGAATTACAGATGGAATGTTAGAAGAGAGGAAGTAAGGAAGTCAGGCAGCAAAGTGGTCAATGAAGAGAAGTGGTCAAGGCAGCAATGTTAGCAGAGATGGGTTTGAAAAGGCAGATTGAATGAATCTCAAATGATGAGAAAGAGAGAGAAGGGGTTGTGGAGCAGTGAGGTGAGAGCAGAAACCCTACACCACCACCTTTATTTTCAGAGTTTCTTGGGTTGTGGGAAAATTGAAGACCAACAAAGAATAAAGAGGCAGGGGTAGCAGTGTCAGAGGGAGAGAGCCATGTTTCAGTTAATGCTAGTAATTGTAGGGAATGAGAGATGAAAAGATCATGCACAGCTGTGGATTTAGTAATACTGCAAACAGAGCGTGCATTACAGAGGGCTGTGGAAGGAGAATTTAAAGGAAGAATTGCGTGAGATGGGTATGAGATTGGAGTGATTGTTGGAGTTAGCACATGATGGGTTTGCAAGTGTGGGACCGGGGTTTGGAGAGACATCACCAGCTGTTATAAGGATAGAAAAGAAGAAAAGATGGGAGCAGGATTTAAAGATTTTGTTTTAAATAATTTTATTGGTACATAGGAAAAGCAGTCATCCCACGCAGGGGAGGCAAACGGTGCATAATAAACTTTTGTCATAAGCATATGCCACAAAGTGTATTATATATCGAATTAGAACAGTCAAAGCCTAGTAAGGCAGAAAGGTTAAAGTGTGTGAACATAAGTAACATAACAAAGGTTAGGCAAATGTCATATTGCATATCCGTTCCAACATTAGCGATAATAGGCCATTCTCTGTATCCTATTTTGCAGTCGGCATATGTTAGCAGTACAATATTTAGCTAAATCTGAACCGAGGTATTTGCACTGTTGTCTACGCTGAATTATAACAGGTCAAGTTAAGTAGCGTTTTATGCCTGTTCTCAACTTTATTTGATTAAGCATTAGGCAGCAACCCATTAGCGAGTCCCCGGGGGGGGGGGGGTTAAAATATGGCATAACACAAGGGCACACCTTTAGAATATCAGAGAAAGGGTTAATATTTCACTCTTAGATATTAAAATGATATTTAGAGATTAGATAATGGGAGTTTAGGGGCTTAATTGGTTGCTGTATAGCTTCCTCTCCACACGTTTAAACAGGGTAGTATGTTGTATGTCTTTAATTCGTGCCCTCAGGTAAGCGGTAACTGATGTCCCTAAGATGGGACCCACAGAATCTATATGCTTGATATTACAAACACATCTAGGAAATAAGCAAAGAACGGTTAAACTGTAAGCAGGCTGTTTCTTAACATAGGGTGATATGATGGGGGTATAAACCTCCGGTTTTAGATCTACGAAACATTACATTAAGTAGAGATTAATTAAATAAGAATTATAGCAACGCAGGACTTTATATTAGTCGGACAAGGGCCGTCTATGGCACAGCAGCAGTATGCCCCTCAGCCAGCCAAGTCTCCATCCGTCTCCCCCAGGCAGGCCTCAGCCCGCCAGCAGGACTCTCCATGGCTCCGTGGGCACTCAGAAGCAGGAACTGTCCGCATGACCCCCACACCTAGAGTCGACGAACCGTCTGCCCCCTGCACCTCACCAGAACCTCTCAAGCCTCTGTGGAGCGTGTGCACCCATGTCTCTCTTGGTGCCGGCCACACTCTTGGGGGTGGTGCACGCCTGTCTCGGCCACCGGTCCGCCTGGAGGCCCGCCACCACCTGGTCCACAGGGCTCACAGCATCAGGGACAGGTCTCTCCGGGGACCCCTCAGACCCGGAGGCCAGGGCACCTACTCCTCTTGCGGGCCGGTTGCCAGAGAATCCATCTGGAGGCCGGTAGCACCGAAGGTCACACGCACTGTCCAAGCCGGACCACCATGGCAGGTGAGTATTTTTCACTGTGTCCCTTCTCAGAGCAGTCAAATGCGCAATTAAATGGATTTTAAACAGCCGATTGCAAGTATCCACCGTTGTGGCTGTCCCCATATCTGTATGGTCCAGTCTTCTGACAGGCTGTTCCGCAGGCAGCCTTTGCCAGTATAGGCGATCGGCACAACACCAGCCCGGGGACTCTCGTCGCCAGGAGGGCCGCCGCCATGAGGTCAGGATTACCTCTGCCGACCATGGGTGGGGGAGCGGGGGCCGCACCACCGGCAGGCACCGGCCGTGTTATGTCAGGGCTCTCTCGCACTGCCTGCCCTGCTCTATTGCCTCCTGAGGCTCCAGATCGTGAGTAGGCCGGGGATATCAGCACCCACCTTACTGTTTGCTATCGGTGGTTATCGGGTGTCTTTCTGATGCTGGGGTTATGCTCTTCCCCAGTACTGCGGAGATGTCCACTTTGGGGTGTTCAGCACACACTTTTAGTGCCTTTTTCAAGTGCTCGGGTCTGGAGCTAAAGTTGATGGCTGCCAGCCGGCCCGGCGGCCCGGCCCCGCCCCCGATTTAAAGATTTTGTGAGAGTGTTTATATTTTCTGGATTTAGAAGAAAATGGTGAAGATAAGTTGGAAAGGTACAAGTGGAGTGCATGGGATGAATAAAAAAGGAAGGGAAGTAGGGTGGGAGCAATGAAAGTTGTGTCAGCAGGAACAGGTAGGCAGAATGACAGAGATATTTTGAGAAGTGAGGGTGAAAGTAAAGAATATGAGGGAGAACATTTTATATGAAGAATTAAAGATTTTATATTATATAGAAGGGGAGTAGGAGTTTCAATAATGCAGAATTAGATAAGGTGATCTATTAGAGTTACAAGAGAGGGGTGAGAGGTTAAAAGGCAAGGAGTGTGACAATTTAGCAGGTGATTAGTGTTTGAGAGACATAATTAGTGTGTTTGGGCTGTCAGGTAATTTGTCCTATCTATAAATGTAATGAGAAACTTGGGGTGGGAAGCCATCCATGCATAAGCTGAAAGTCTTGGGAACTAGATGCTGGTGTGTTTGGGACCCAGGCTGCATTTAAAGGTGGGGAGAAAGTATTTGAGATTTAAAGATATGAGGATAGATCATAAATGGTGAACATATATTAACAAGACTATCAGCAATAACTCTAAACTAACAAAATAGGGGTAAATCATAAATGGTGGACATAAATAAGCCATACTATTAGTAATAACTTTAAACTAACAAAAATAGAGGTAGATCATAAATGGTGGGCATGAATTAACAAGACTATTTTAGCACAATAACTAACAAAATAAACATTTATATAAACAAGTGTGTGTGTAAGAATGTTATAAAGGGCATTGCCTCTAAAACCCTAACTGCTTCAAGCTTCAAAATTCAAACATTAATAGAGGGTAAATTGTAGGGATGTTCATAGGGAAAATATTTGTTTCATTTCGGCATTGGAACTTCGGCACTTCGGTTCGGCACTTCCGTACTTTGGCACTTCGGAACTTCGGCAACTTCAGAACTTCGGATGTTCTCTTGCAGCCGCTTAGTAGATAACTCCCTAATTCCCACAGTATTAGGAAGCTATCTATCAGAAGGCTTAAAGGCCTAAATTGGTCTTTCAGCCAAATTTACTAATACTAAATAAAAATTACTCACTATACCGCGAGTAGGGGCATGTCTATTAAACAAAAAACAAAACACTGTGTCCCCCCCTCCCGAATCCCCACCCGTGCTGTGCGAGTGGGGGCTTCTAACCTGAAGGGGGGACCTATTGCCCCTCCCGGTCCCCACTCCTGATCGGCAAGTGGTGGCCCAAAATCAGAAAAATGGAGGGTACCTATGGTCCTCCCCCGTGGCCCCCACCCCTAAATGACGGGTGGGGGACTTAAAGTAAAATAAGGGGGGCACCTATTGTCCTCTCCCCCGGCCCCCACCACTGAGCAATGGTGGGTGGGGGGCCGAAATAAGCATAAGGGTGAGGGGGTTAGTTAGGGATTCATTAATTTTTTTGGAGGGGTGTGACTAGGGGCTTGGGTGACATTTTTATTTAGGGTCCCCACCCACCGCTCACGGGTGTGGGCCAGGGAGGAGGAGGACAATAAGTCCCCCCCTTAGTGGTATTTAGGGTCCCCACCCACCACTCAGGGGTGGGGGCCAGGGGCAGGATAATATAGGACCCCTATAATATAGGGCCCCTATATTCTAATTTAGGGCCCCCACCCACCGTTTAGGGTTGAGGGCCGGGGAGGATGACAATTGGTCCCCCTTGTTTTACTTTAGGGCCCCACCCACCGCTTATTATAATTTAGGGCCCCCACCCACTGCTCAGGGGTGGGGGCCAGAGGGGGAGGACAATAGGGCCCCCCTTATTCTAATTTAAGGCCGAATTGCCGGAAATTCGTAAGGAACGAAACGAATTGCACATGTCTAGTAAATTGGCTAAAATAGTGGATCAGGATGTTTCACTTCTTTCAGTAATTGCTACAGTAAAGACGTTTTACATTTGGAAATTCACATAGATAATGAATAAAAAAGAAAACAGTTGTGGCTGAAATCTTTTTTGATCTACCTCACCTTGATATCAAGAGATCCCCAAAAATAAGTGATTGAACATTACTGACTGGCATTTTCAAAGCTTTGGATATCTTTTTATTTCAAGTAGATAATAGTAAAAGGCTACTTCTTGAAGAAGCCTTTTTAGGCGAAGCGTGTTTAGATATTGTTTTACTACTTTATAATAAAGAAATTATTTTGGCATAAATTATTTTATTGCCATATTTTCTCTTTTTACCTGACTACATACCCTACAAGAAACATAAAGAATCCACAGGTGGGGATTACACCACCCAAATGCTTACACCGAGCAGTAAAAGCCTGCTCTAAATAATGTGAGTAATATATTTTATGTTTTTATAAAATCTTTTATTCATAAAACAGAGAATCCTTTTAATTCTGGGTCGAACAATACTAATATTGGACGCTGAACCTATGCCACATATCTGCCATTCAAATATTACTCCATATATCCTTGAGTGGGGATTATTCCACTTCACGCGTGCAATATCAGAGCTGGATTTTAGCTCTGAAAAGTGTGAGTAATACTACTATTACTACCTTATAATTTTATTCACCTATATACTGTGCCATTGGAGTCCTGTTCTTGTCTTACTTCTTTTCACATATGCTCCACTGAATTTCAAGCATACAACCGTGAAGATTTACTCCATCCTCTCAAGAATCCTTTTTTCCACACATGGACTTATGATAAGTTATTTATGATAAGTTATTTGGATCACTGTTAACCATTAATTTTATATTATATTTTATCATCATTTTATAATATATAATTTATTTTATTACTTACATTTTATTATACATTTTAGGTGCACCCTTATTCTGTTGTCTGTTTTCTTGTGTTTTATCTTACTGTTAGGGGATTAGAGGGGACTCCCCTTTGAGGTGTGCAGCTGTCTTACTACATTTCTCTGTGGCAGTTTAGCATTGATTTTTTCTTTCTGTATCTTCCACTATTCATAACTCCTAAAATATTCATACAATCTCCATAAGTCCATAGTTACATATTTTGAGTCAGCATACTCTAAATACAAACATACCCAAAAATCAGACAATTCCCTCCAGTGGTTAAAAAGTTAGGTGAAAGTCCATTTTTGACCGACCGCAAGCATGGCTTTCCTGCCCAAAACAGTTCCATAGATTTGGGCTGTCTATTTTACACTGAAAAATAACTAAGTCCCATTCGAATGCATGAACGGGACACCATTCGGGCAAATAGCTTAGTATAACTGTGCATTTGAATAGTCAAATGCACTTCGATTTTAGCCGAAATGTCAAAGTGGAGGAGAAGGTAAGGGTCAGCGGTGTTCGTGCAAATGTGGAGCCGATTTTAGTTCCATGGATTTGACGGCACACACAGCTGACCGCGTTCGACTAAATAAAGATGGCCACCGCCACGTGTTCGACTGTATGACGGCAGTGGTCGTCAATTAACCTGCGGTTACCCGCCAGCCTGGGAGGTAAATTGCCTGCACACTACCACTTGCGTGTGGTCCGCCTGTTCAGTAATTGGTTCGGTAAGCCCCATTTACTGATCCAAGTGGGAAAAAGCCACAAACAAAGTATTTTAACAGTCTGGGGATTCTGGGGACACAATTTTAAAGGGGCCATGTTCCAATTCTCACTATGTCCCAATAATGTGCTTAAAGGGCCAGCACCAGTCCCATAAAAGTCCATAAGCCCAAGTAATGTTTTTAAAGAGCCATACACCCCAGGTTCATAGTCACAGGGCAAGAGGCTGGCAAGCAGGTCTCTCCAGGACCAAGTGGCAAAGGGTACTTCGTCACAAGAGCTATGCCAATCTCACTGTTAATTAACCATATCAGCATAATATTCATTTAAACAATGGATCTGTATGCATAATCTTCATATTCTAAGTTTATTTACCTTCTATAAATATACATTTTTAGCATAGTTATTCTATAACAAATTTGGATGTTTTCTTTTAGGGAAATTCCATTACTTAATTCTAAAAACTACAATCTAAATACAATCTACCTGATAACTCAAGAACATATTATATAGAAATTAGCGAAAAAATGAAAGAAGACAAATGTATTTTTTTTATCTTAATATTTCTTTATTTAAATTTTTAACAAATACAGTTTATATCAATTTACAATTAAACAAAATTTAATCACGCAAACACAAATACATAATAATTTACATTACATAGATGTACTACATTCATTCCGGAGGGTTCCAAAGATAAAGCTTTACAGATTCAGAATTTCAAAAATCTTTTTAACTTCAAGTTCAGCTCCCAATAGCTGGTATAGATATAACAGAATACGCTGTTATTCAGAATACGCCGTTCTTACAGCGTACCAAAGAAGCTAGTGTGCCTCTTCCTTGCATTTTCAACCTTTTTCTCCAAATAAGCTCATAGGTACTTTGCTGTAAGAACGGCGTATTCTGTTATTAGATTAAAGATTAAAGACACAATCTAATTTTAGAAAATAAAATGCACAAAATGTCATATTGCCAAAACCCAATCTTATGTATGCAACTTTAACGCAGTTGGGATATATGGGAAAACTGCTTATAAAAAACAACTAATATTTATAATTTAAATTTACTGTCATGATTATGTGATGCAAAACAAAATGTCAATGTAATATTATGTTCATTTTCTTTAGTATGGATGGATGCCCCTCCCTTTTTCCAAGTTCCCCTCTCCTTCCCTCACTTGAATAGTATGTTTTATTATTAATTATTTTTGTTGTAAAAACATTTAAAACTTTATTAAATAATTTGAAATGAAAAGGGGAAATTGCAGGAAATAAATGGAAAAAATTCCAAAAAAAGCTTTTGTCACAAATGTGTTGCATTGCAGAAAAGTCTTGGTCTTTAAGGGATTAAATATATCCCACATTTCATTCAAAGAATGGGTAGGGTAAAATGTCATCTTCCTCCCAGTAACATATAGGGACACTAAAGACCCCCGAAGTAGTTCATCCTAATGACAATTAATTTACAAATTCAACTGAGGATAAATATCAGAATTATTTCAGGTAGGGACTCTCAATTTTGCAACCCACTTCAGCAGCACCTCTATGCTGCCTTATAATGGTGCCAGCCCTGTTCAAACATTACTGAACTAAAGGAGTATAAAGAAAAGTTTGTAAAAAGCCAAATTGGAATTTTGTATTCATTCAGATATCCACATTTTCCAGCTTTAACTAAAACTTTGTGACTAACAATCATAGAATATCCATTAAATTAATTTGCACATGGTTTTGATTGCCTTACATGGATATGATTAGGGTACACAAATTTCCCAACAACAATAAAACTTAGAATATGAAGATTATGCATACAGATCCATTGTTTAAATGAATATTATGCTGATATGTTTCAATATAAAATATTGTATTTAAAAAAAAAAAATTAAAATTATGTTTTTAAACTCACTTTGATTGTTAATAATTGCAGGGGCAACTGGTCACAAAGAATTATCCAACTCATGCATTGGTTATCATTGGACTTCTTGTTGGAGCGTCTATTTCTTGTATATTTTTTGGAGTGCTAATACATTTCATCAACAAGAGGTTAAGAGGAACCTAAACCAATATTTTGTATATTACGTAAATATATATTCTATATATGAATATGAGTAAATCATAGACATGCATTTGTTTGAATTTATTTTGCTATTCTTTTATCAGAGTATACAGCAGTAAAATAAATTTAAAAATTGAGTATAACACCTACATTGAGTTTGTTTCTTTCTGCCCCCTCCCCCCCCCCACAAGGCATCTTCATCTGTCTACGCATGTGTCTCTCTTAGGTCCTGTTTTGTTCTTTTGTATCATTGTGAATCCCTTTTCCCATATTAAGTATTGTTGCTCTAATTTCTTCTTTTGGATTTCTTGCCGCCTTTTGAATGTTTTGCCATCTTGATGTGTATTTTACTTTCCTCTTGTTTCTCTTACCAGCTTTTAATCCCAGTGTCTTTTAATCCTTTTTTAAAATGTTTATTGAGAGAACAGATTTACAAATCTCCACAACAGGAAATATTACAAAATGGAACACACAGACTGCTGGAAAGTATAAATGCAGGTGTACAATGCAATATACAGAGCACTTTTTATAAAGTAAAAGTCAAACAATTTAATAAAATTAAAACACAGTGTAACAGAAGTCATCAGTAGTTGCCCAAAAGTAAATAAAAGTAGTGAGAAAATAGTAAAGAAAATATAAGCCATAAAGAAAAACAATAACAAAAATGGAGCTCCAGAAGGTCTGCACTCATTGCCATGCATGTAATAACCACAAAGTAAATCATAAATACATTTTATCCTTATTACATAAAGTGTAACATGACAATAAAATATCAGGCAAGCCTCATAAATAACAGGGTATCCAAAATACCAAACTACAGAATAGATAGCAAAAACATACCACAAAAAAAGTCTACCAGTCCAAAAATAGGCTTGCAAGCCAAAGTTAGTATTCAAGGCCGGCAATTCCATCAAATTGGATTTTTAAGAGAGATTATATTTATTGCTAATACCAAAAGATATTAGTGTTCATAAACCAAAGTACATTTAGTTCAAATCAAAATATTATCAGAAAGAAAACTTCCCTGTATGTGGTGAAGCTTCAAGGGTACCCTGAAGACTTCCTCTTGTCTTCCACAGAAAATACAAGTTTTTACCCATTTTTGCAAACACCCCGAGAACATATGGAAACCTCATAAAACATATATCCCCTGATAGCCCTGATCTGGGGGAACATCATATTGAAAAAATCACCCAGATCGGTTCAGGGGTAAAAGAGTTAGGTAGAAGTCTCTTTTGACCGACTGCATGCATGTTTTCATGCCCAAAATAGTTCCAGAGGATTAGGCTGTGCGGTTGGTCTCTTTCTTACAGTCGAAATACATTAAAAGAGTTGAGTGGCTGTTCGTACACATGTGAATTGATGTGTACGAACGGTAAATTGTATCTAACAGAACGAGAAGTGGAAGTCTCAGCGGTGTTTGTGCCGTTGAGTGTCTGATTTTAGTTCCATACACTTGACGACAAAACACTGCTGACCGCATTTGTATCCCAAGATGGCCGCCGCAATGTGTTCGGGCATACGAACGCCGACCCCCCAGTTGATCACTCAGAATGTTAGGGTGTTCATGGTTTTTAGATGTGTTAATAAGGTCATTGGTGTTAACAAGCGCCATGCTCCAGGTTTGGGTGGCTGGTCATTCGGTAGATATTTTGTTATTCGAACAGTCAAAAGTAAAATAAAGGTGAATTTAATTCCATACGAACGGTTAATCGAACAAAGAGTTTAAAAGTTTAAAATCCAGGGACAGAGGGTCTGTCACACCCTCCCTCCCATCCCCAGTCCTGTTATATCCCCTCAAATATCCTTAAAGACCTTTGATTCCCTGCAGCTGTTCCTTCGGTTTTGTCTGGGTGCAATGATGTCATCACTTATAATGTCTGATGATGCCATACATTCAGCTTTGCATTCCACGGCCGTAAACCCAGAGTTCATAATGTTTTATGTTCATTCTTATGCTGAATTGTATGATAAAGCTCCCAAAGTGTGAAAAGGAGAAGGAGGGAGAGGGAGAAAAAGGGAAGGGGGGTTAGGAAATTTAGGAATACAACACTCTGCACTATTCAATAAAAAATAATAAAAGATTTGGAAAGGTATGAGATATATTACAGAAAAATGAAAATAAATAATGAAACAAAAGAGAAAAAAATAGAAATGGAAAAATATATGAAATGAAAATGAATATTGAAAGAAAATCTAAATTAAACATATATTGAAATAATATAAATGAAAATAAATATAATATTAAAATAAGATATTATGAATGAAATTAAATGAAATAATAATAAAAAGTAGTATTGAAAAATAAAAAAATATATAAAAATCAAAGTAAAGAAAAAAACGGTAAATTAAAAATGGAAACAAATATAAGAAACTGTAAATAAAATACAATCAATTATATATGGTAATATGGAACTAAATTAATTTCTGAGACACAGTAGATTGGTCCATAAATTCACCATTTAGTAAAAATAAAATAAAGGAAAAAAAAATCTCAGATACAGAAATATACATGCAGAGTTTATTACACTATTCACATAAAAATAACGTTTATGGTTTTGGATGCCCCAAAAAAGGAAGAAGAAAAGGGGAGTTACCATGTTTAGAAATAAATGTGTTGACTTTTTATCATACATGGAAATATTTGTCTCATGTAAAAAAAAAAAAAAACATTTTTCCCATGTTTAAGAAACACCATAAATCTAGATCCAAGTTAAGTACACAAGCTTGTAATGTTTTTAACTTGTTTATCCAAAAGATTTCCCTTTGTGAGAGTTTTTTAATTCTATCACCCCCTTTTCAATGAGGATTGATATGTTCAATGCCCATGATGGAAAAATCTTGCCAATTAACCCCTTAGTGACGAGTGACGGACAAAGTCCGTCACTCAGGGGAAACCCTTAACGACTAGTGACGGACTGCCACAGATCGCCGTGATCGCAGCGATCGCTGGGTTAATGGTGCTCACAGTCTGCCTGAGTTTAAAATTATAAATTTAACTAGCTGGGGTGGGTGGAAGTTAGTGGGGAATTGGTGGATTTGGTGTTAGGCTAACTAGGGGTTAACATTAAAAAAAGTTTTAAAATAAGCTTTAAGAAGTTAAAAATTAAGTTAAAAAAGGTCTTAATAACGTTTAAGTAAAAAATAAAAAACACCCCCCTTTACCCAGTCCAAATTAAAATTAACCCCTTCCCTACCAGTGATCACTGCCTACAGTGATCAAAATACAGATCACAGTATTATACTGTGATCTAATTTTTTTTAACCCCTGACGATTAACTTTTATTTATTTTTTTAACCCTCAGGGGTTCAGTTTATTTAATTAACTGATTTAAATATTTTATAATTATATATTTTGCTAGCTGGGGTGGGTGGGAGTTATGGGAAAATGGGGAATTTACTGTTAGTGCTGCTTACTGCTAGTTAGGGGTTTTAAGAAAGTTTAGGAAAGTTTAAAAAAATTAAAAAGCAAAACAAAACTTTAAAAACTAGTTTTAAAAAGTAAAAAAGTTTAAAAAAATAAAAATTTACATTTAAAAACACTCATTACCACTACACCTGGAACAAACTAGAGAAAAAATTATACCACGCCAAGGTTCCAAATATGCCTTTAGAATTACCCCAGGGTGTATTCTTTAATAAATAGTATGTGTTTGTGGGAAAGTTTCAATAACCAATAATCTAAACTACTCCAAATTGGAACATGGACACAGCGTAAAACTTCAAAGCTAGAAAATAACTGGAATGGCTGTGTCCCAAATGTGCCCCTCCGATGTCCACATATACCTGGCAAAGGTACATACGGGGGTATTGCTGTACTCAGCTGACATAGCTGCGCAACATATGAAGTATTATACAGTCATAGCACACATAAGGTTTGCAAAATATACTGTGCAAACTCACGTTGTGTGTCAAAAAGGCAGAAAAAATGCTTATTACCACTACACTTGGTACAAGCTAGCGGAAAAATGATCCCACGCTAAGGTTCAAAATATGCCTTTTGAAATACCCTGGGATGTCTTCTTTAAGAAATGGTAGGACTTTGTGGGGTAGTTTGAATTTAAAAACGCTTGGAAATTGCTCATAGGCCCAGCGTCATTTTCAAAGTTCAGTAAAAACTGATATGGCTTGGTCTCCTATATGGCACTGTAGCATCATGAAATAGTGCTTTTACTTAGAAGACTTAGATGAGTTTGGGGGGTTTGAACTTAGTAGCACATATGAAATATACAAAATGCTCAGCAAAAATGCAATCCGTATGTAAAAAATGCACAAAATAATTTTTAACCACATACTTTGCATATATTAATTAAATAATGGGGGCATGTTAAGGCACAATATGCACCTTATGAGATACCCTGGAGTGACTACTTTTACAAATGTGTTTTTTTTTGAATAGTCAAACTACTATAATACCCCAAGTGGAAGCATAGGCTCATTAAATCCGTCTCTCAAAATTCTACTGTGAATACTAAAAAGGACAGGTCTCCTATATGGCACTGTAACTTCACGAAATAGTGCCAAAGACATACAATGGGGGTGTCATTTTACTCAGCAGATGTAACTGAACACAAAATAAAACTGTTACAGGAATTACACACACCAACTTTACAAAATACACATGAGAATTTCTGTTATAAGTTTGTGTGCCAAAAACAAAAAAAACCCCACAATTTTACTCCAATATTTAGCAGAGGTTACGTGGAAAGTGTGAAAACAACCTTTGGTAAATAGCATGTGATGTCTACTTTATATAAATATATACTTTTGTGTGTCGATTTTGTTTTCTTTTATGGATATTAAGCTTACAAGACAAATATACCAAATTCTAAAATCACTCCACATTAAAAGTTTATTTTACTCCTTGTGCTTTGTGACCTGTAACTACCAAAAAACTAAAAATCCCAGACACATATATATTCTGTAAATCAGAACAACTAAATGAATTTATTTTAATTACAGTTGAACGTAAACAGCAAAAAAAATGCAAAAAATGCTGTTGT